TGTGCTTCAAGACTAGCAACGATGACCAAGACGATATCGAGGATGAGGACCAGCTCACTGGCATCATGCTTTCTGGCCTTGAAGCACATAGGCGGAATATGCTAGTCTTGACGATGATGTGTGTGTTTGTCGTGATGACTCATTAGAGGACATAGTACAGGAAGTAATGCCAGCACAGTGCAGCAGTGAGAGTGAAGATGACAATGAAGAAAGGGATGACTTGCTACCAACTGTCACAGCCATAGCTTTGAGCACATCGCTCAGCTCCGGAAGTTTCTGTTTGCAAAGGAAGATTCCCGTAAGGAGCTACTTGCGTTGGCTGGTATTGAAAATTTTATTTTGAGATCGTATGTGCTGACTAAACAGTCCACAATCGACAATTTTTTTGCCGGATAATAAACTCAATGTCACAGCTCTTTCACTAATGTGTTATGCCTGTACTTGCTTATAATTAGGCCTATGTAGAGGAAACTGGCAAAAATGTGCTTTGTATGAGTAGCTATCCATGTAACAAATCATAATGCTGTCTAGTATCATATTTAGATGAATTTCTGATAATTCAAACTAAAATCTGTGACTTCCTGGAGTTTGAATTAATGAGACTCTACTGTAGTTTGCTGTACGGCATTTCGCATTCAGCGAGTCATTTTGTCACTGTACACAGAAGAAAGCATAAAAGCGTTCGGACAAGTTACGCATTCACGGCTGCACGATGCTGGCAACTGTAGGGCGAGTTGTTAGACTTTGCCTTTGGTGAAAGAGTCCTGTTTGTAACACTGTGCCGCTGGAGCAAATCCACAGATTGATTGCTACTTCCTTGGCGATACAACTGCTGCCTTCTCACGTCGACACATGGGAAATACCGCAAACAAAAGCAGACACCGTCATGACTTCGCAAGGTGAAACCGGAGAGGTCAAGAGCGGAAGAATTGCTTGAGTGTTGACGTGCTATGTGGCATCAACAACAGAGGCCTGCCACTAAAAAAAAAAAAAAATACTAGTTTGTAGCTTTTTTGCTGGACGTGACGTCACGACAAGTGACGGCAGCGATTGGCTGGCAGAGTGATGTAGATTCTTTCAGGGGGAATTTGCCACTGAATTCATAACCTGACATCAAATGTAGTTTCTAAACATGGCGGATATAATCAGGCCAGTTTCCGTCCACAATGCTGCCGCCTAGTCTGTCGCACAGATTATTTCCGTTGCTAAGGGGCAATTGGGGCTTTATGTAAACATAGGCTGAACGTGCGTGTAGGAAAAATAACATGAATGACCGACCACATCTTTGACTCTTCCAACATATTGCAAAAAAACAAAACAAAAAACCGACAGGTCAACATTTTTTTTGTTTTTTCTTCATTTTTAGTGGCTGTCGTGTAACATAGAAGTACAAGTACCAAGTAAAATAAAACTAAAGAAAAAGTACATAACGTAAGGTGTACATGAACTCTATAGATATAATACCAGTCCCAATGGTTTAGCAAAGAAGCCAGTCTTCTCAGAAAACCCCCTCTCTCACTTGAGTCCGTTTTCTAATATTTGAATCTTAAAAAGAAATTGCCCCGAAAAAGCGGCAGAAAATGCACAAAACAAAGTGACAGTGCCTAAAAAGGTCACACCTGCCTTTTCACATGGCTCTCGGAACTACACGCAGTGCAGGATGCAGAACGGTACCCATGGGCTAGCTGCAGTTGTAACCCAGTGCTAGTAGTATATCGCAGCTGCTTGAAAGGGAGAGAGGCCACCTCCTTCATGCCGTGGTACGGGGAAAAGCAATACCAATGAGCCGCAGGCGTCGAGCACCTTGTACTTCTGTGCATCCACAAAGCATTTCTGGGACAGCAACGACAGGAAACTTCAGTAACACAGTGAACAAAAAAGAGACCAAAAGAGTAGGCATGCAGGCAAGCGTGAATTGTAGACACAGCTAAAACTCAAGGCACAAGGAAGCAGAAAGAGGGCACATGAAGAGGCCTTTCGACTTCCTTGCATGTCAGGTTTGAGTCTCGTACCGGGTAGTAAGAAGCAACAATACTGGTTCCCTAGCCTTTCCTGTCTCAAGAAGCCTTGGAACAAAGATATCCTACTCGTCATTTATCTCGTTTTCTCTTCTCGGGCAGATTAAAGTGCACGCTGCGGCAGTAAACTGCCTCCAAAGGACTCAACTCGCACTTCTTAGAGAATGATTGGCGAGCAACTTCTCCATTGTGTACTACGTGCACTTTATGTTTTAAAGGGGTACTCCGGCATTTTCTTCATTGTCCCCGATTTGCCTAAAAACTTGCTAAACACATCAACAAACATCGCTGAAATAGTAACCGAAATATCTGGCCGAAATAGCTTTTTTTCGCAGTCACAGAATTTACAATTTTCGTCATCATTGTGTTTTTCGAAGTGAAAAGCTCTACTGGCAACATTGAAATTGAGACGTCATGGGAAGGCAAAGGTTCACTCTTAGGGCTGTAGACTTTGTTCACAACTGATCACAAACAGTTTCATGGTGTCAAAAGAATGCTTTGGAAGGTCGCCCCAAATCCCACCCAGCAGCACGAAACAAATGCTCGGCATAGTTCATTTCTACACAGCCGCTCGAACCGTGAGCCTGTCCCATCCTGTGACACAAGCACGTAACTAGAGGGGGTTCATGAAGCCCGGCCTGGCCCGGCCCGGCCCGGCCCGGCCCGCCGCTGCCGCCCCCCGCCCCCAAAACAAAATCCTGGCTATGTGCCTGCGTGACGTCACGGCAATGAAAAGCACAAGTATATTTCAATCTTGGATCGGCATCATACACGACAGTGGTAGGAACATTACTTGTGTCGAGCTAGAGAAGCCATATTGGGGGCTACCCCAGCTACGTCCACACTGGCTATCATGGCAGTTATGTGCGATGCAGACTAAAAAGAAGTCTCGTTGCATTGTTAACACAGACATCAAGTCCACTAGGAAAGGCCAGCTGTGCCATCCACCTGTTCATAAGCGAGCTGGAGTTATCAAAGCACAACCGAGAATCTCTCGGAAGTACTTGGTTCCTTTTCAGCAGTTATTGAATGAAAGCACAGTGCAGTGGTGATTACCATCAGCACAGCCTTGCCACTGGCACTGCTGTCCCTCGAATGGCACATGCACGACATGGCCTGCAAGCCACATATATCCCTAAAAGAAAGCTGCATAGGATGAACTTACCGTGGCTAGCGTCGCCACCCAGCGAGCTTGCACAAACCCTCTGCATGGCACGCAGTGCTGTTCAGAACAGAGCGGCACTGGCTAGCCAGTTAATGCGAAGGCTTGTAGTGTCTTGCCGCTGCCTTGGCAAAGCTGCAAGTCACCTCTTTCACGCCTTGTGGTGCTCATCAGCTTCAAAAGAAACGGTGTTGAATCGCGACCGGCTATAACCTGTCGCACAAGGGAGAAAAGGGTGTGAATGTGCAGACTCCTATCTGTTTGCTTTTGTCTAGCGTGTGAGTTTTGTTTGAGAAGAAAACAACAATGACACTTCTTTCACAGTAATATGCAAAACAAAAACGAGAACGGCTCGGTTATTAATAAGTTGTGTGCAGCAGAGGCACGGGTGCGAGGGCGTAGCTCCGCAGAATGTTCTTTTTGCACGGCTGCTCGTGCAAAAAGGGCGCTTTTGTGCTCGGGCCTGTGCCTTTTCTGCACACAACGTATGTTACAGAGTGTATAGCACGCCTTCGAGAGCACTCGCGTGCGGCGAGAAATCCATCATATACAGGGTACGATCGCAGGAAACCTCGCAGGGGTGCAGGAAGCTGCAAGTGCACGGTGCACCAGAATGTGAAACTAGAGGTGGTAATAGTATTTCACAGTTTGAGAATATGACGTTACTTGACGTAACTGCCTTACCGGCGGATGATAAGGGCCATCGGAGCACGACCAACTATTTGTTGTGATCGGGGCATTCGATTGGACGCGGGTTGGTAAAGATTTGAAAAACACGAAAGAATAAAACATGTAGGGACGAAGACAGACAGCGCAGTTCTTTGTTGGCATGAAATGTAAGATCAAGCACATTATTCTGTCGGATCAAATGGTTTTGTTGAATTAGGTTTAGCTCGCAAGTCAGCCGTTCTTCGGCGGGCTTTCAGCTTTCTGCGATGGTTGTTTTAATCGTGAACGCAGGCTCAAACAATGTAGGCAGCGGCGCCAAATAGATCTGAAACTAAGAAACAGCTCGGACGCCTGGAACGAACACACATAGAGATCACATCACAGGAAAACTCAAACCACCCACCTTTCGTTCGACGACGGTACGTCAGGCACGATGTTTCCGATGTTTCTCCGGGCGTTGAGGAGACCGAGGAGACCGCGTCTGTTTCCGTGCTCCTATTGGTCGTGACGTCACCAAATTTCATCCAATAAAGTGCGCGCCGAAGTTTTCTCTAGTCGCCGGTACACAGCCAGCCACCTGTCATGAAACTCAGGCTCTGTAGGACGTTGAACAGGGCTTTGCAACGCAGCATGCTAGACACCTTTCGATTTTTAATTTGGCTCACATAAAAATGCGACGAAAAAGCAAGCGCAGAAAAAAAAAAAAAATAGTTTGGTTCAGAAAATTGATAGAGGTACATCCAGAGTTTGAGTACAGCTGGTCTTTACAGGCACAAAAGAACCGACTTAACTAAAATTTAACTAGCTTAAACAGTGGCATACGCGCTTACAAGTTATACTAAGCGCATGTTTAAAGTTGGAACTAGGATGAAACATTGCTCGTCTCCCCAGGAAAGACGAAGAAACAGGAAAAATGCTCATGCAGGGGGCGCCATGGCCCGATTGATTTTTTTCCCCGTAAGGTCACACATATGACAGACACGAAATAAAAGGAATAGCACTTTTCTCCACGACAATGTCAAAATCTTTATTGACGGATAACGAGTGAAAACTCTCAAAATCAAAATAGATAAATCTTCGGTAATATTTTGTTAAGAACACTTCAACGTCTCGGCGCGAGGCGTCGCTAACGTTTGTTTTTGTTTATTACTTTTTTTGTTTTTATTTTTTTGTCTCGTACTCGGTTTATTTCTTTTTTCGTCGAGATAGTTGTTGTCGCCGAAAGCGTAGCGGTGTTTCGATTAGCTTCGATAACGCCACCATGGCCTTCTGGTTCCACAGAAACCCTTTAAAAGCGACGGCTCCCGTCAACTTCGACCTCAAGATGCTTGCCATGGACAGCCAAGCGCTCAAATTGTGCAGGCAAGTCGCATTCATCCGTAGTGGTGCCAGCTTCGCTCTGGCTAGCCGAGCTCCCCCAAGTACATCCCCCCACAAGTTGTGACAGGTGTTTACGCCTGATCGGTCACAAACACAGGCTCCCCTAAAAAGACAAATACGAACGTTTAGGGCACGTTATGGTGTTCACGCTGGAATCGGTAGAATGCCATAAAAGGCGATCGGCTTTTAAATTGTGATGCTCCCTCGGCGCGAGACATATGCGTGACCGAACGAAGCATTCTCATTTGGTTATTTTACATTTAACATTAAACTTGGGAAGGACTCCCCGCCGTACCCGCAAGGGTAGTGATCTCGAATTTACATTTCGGTGCCTTGGTCCGAGGTGTGCGAAAGAGCGGATGTGACATGTAATACGGTACGCGAGCACGAATATGGCACTACTGAACGGAAATGATCAGTGGTTATCTGCTGAAGGTTGTGCAGACGTCCTCATAACGTAATGAGGATCCCCTCTGGCTCTGTGTAGGAAATGGTCAATGTCTCTTGCCTGCACTTTTGTTTTTATCGCAAACGAGGGTTATAAAAGTGTATAGTTAATCTTCATATTAGTCAGTAAATTCATCCTGTGCTTTGGCTGCCTAATGCCTTCTAGACAAAAAAAAAAAAAAAAAACATATATCTATAGGGTGTCCCAAGTCACCAGGCTCGATCTAAAATGGACCGTAAAAATCGACGTCTGCACGTAGCAATCTAAAATGTTCGTCAAAGGTGTATTTCACACTTCACAGGAAAAGTTTCGTCAAAGGTTTATTTCACAGGTTTCTGTAAAATAGAACCAGGAAACTTGCCAGGGTCAACGGTGGGCTGTGACGTAGATGATCGAGTCGAGTTACGGGGCGCGCTTGGTGCGCATATTTATGGATGGCGTCGGGAGCATTGTTGGAGGTGCAGCCAACGTCATTAGGTCAGCTCAGTTACGGAACTGCTCATAGACGCTGCATGCACGAGCAGTACCCTCCCTTACTCACCATGACTCACCTTCCGTCGTTCGATGTGCCGGATGGCTGCTGTTGTAAATGCAATGTATTTATTTTATGGGATACGTATGTTTCAAAGCGCAGCGTCTAGATGACACTTTTCTATACTCTATGGAACACACAGTTCGTAAATAAAAATCTAGATGGCGCTTCGAATAACTGGAAGCGAACTGAAGTGAGTGGGGGGGTGTACCGTTTTCCACGGGAGTTCCACAACTGTGGTAATCTAGTAACATTGGGTGCAGCCGACCACCGAAAGAAAGCAGACGACAGGCAGACAAAATCCGTTGGCAGCAAAAGCAACTTCGTTATGCAGATGCGTTTTTTTTTTTTTTTTAATTTACGTTTTGCTTTTTTTGTTCGCATTTATTTTTATAGCAAGGCTGTTAAGGGCTAGGTTCCCCAGGATCGTGTTCGGCATGTCGACACAAATCTACCTGGACAGCTACCGCCATCTATAAGCGACGGCGGCAAGCACACAGCCAGTATGGTTTCCGCCGTCAATCGTAGATGGCCGCAACCTTTCCAGCTATCATAGAAGAACTGATGGTTGGGCGCGTTGGGTGGGAATTCATTGTAGGAAACGGCGCGAAAAACAGGCGACGACGAAGAAGGAGCACACGTAACGAGCGCAGCGCTCGTCACGTTTATTTCTTCGTCCTCGTCCGTTTTGCGCGCTGTTTCCTACGCTCTTATCAGCTTCGGTTTGGACTCGCGATGGGTCAGCCGCACGCCCTTTCGGGGAAAGGAGATTGGCTGCGGAAGGAGCGGCGACATATGCAGCAGTGCGAATGGGTCCGCAACCGCCGCAAAGCCGCTGTCGCCTTGACTTCCACTGCGTCCAGCTCTTCAGATTCCTTTGCCAAAGAGCACATCGCTTGCCTGGAAAGCCGCCGGCGAGAACGGAACCAGCGATGTAAAGGGTGCCGGCGGGCCAACGCCGCAGACGACGATCGTGCCACGGAGGCCAAGCGCAAGCGCGAGGCCCGGCGATGACTGCACTCCACGCCGGCTCAACAGCTCCCGGGTGCGACGGCGAGGTTCCGGAGGGAGTTCATAGAAAACCCGTTTGGCGTCACGTGCGCCATGTGCAACCGACTCTCGTTCGCCGGAGACGTATCCACGATCGGCAGCGTGTCAGACAAGAAGAAGTGGGAATCGGGCGCATGCGCGTTGCGGCAATGTATCAAGTACAGCTCCGCTGGTCTTCCTTCTTCACAAGAGTGGAAAGGCTGAACATTTTTTTTAACCGAAAGTAGATTACAAAAAGATTATCTTCATTTTAATAAACCATGGTGGTCACGAGCCGTCTCACTAAGAAGGTAGTGCCATCTATCAATATGAGCGTCAAGCGCGCCATGCCACTCGATTTGGTCATCTGCGTCGCCGCCCGCCGTTGACCCTGTCAAGTTTCTTGGCCCTATTTTTTACAGAAAGGGAGCTAAGCTTTCTAATTTTACAAGAAAAAACCGACCTGTGAAATACACCTTTGACGAAAAGTTGAGATTGCTACGTTCAGGTGTTAATTTTCACGGTCCATTTTAGATTGATCCTGGTGACTTGGGACAGCCTTTATATATTGTGTTAGCAATGCAATCATCATCTTTTTACTTGCCAAAATTTCTGCCAAATTAAATTAAGTTAAAATAAAGATATTAAAAAGAACAGTCATTAATATTTTTACGTGGGTCATACAATTTACGATATGAAAACTAAGAAAAATATTTCCTTCCATTTTTGGATTATTTTTAATGCATAGCAATGTCGTAACCAAAATTTTATTTATTTCTAGGACAGGGGGGTGCCAAGATGGTTGGGACCTCCCCGACTTGGAGAGTGGGTAGGGCAAAGGCGACATAGAATGCTAGACGCACCACTTGGACATGTCTCGGTCACCGCAGCTGTGCTGACAACTTCTCGTTTCGTGCCTTTCCTGCAGCGACCTGCGGCAGGCAAGAAATCACCTGCTAGACCTGCTCACGGACCCGGGCAACGACGTGGGGACGGTGGAGACATCCCTCAACGCCTATCTGTCTCTCTTCGTGGGCCTCCTCCTTGCCCCCGACGAGAAGGGTGGCGAGAGCAAGCTGAGGAACTCGCTCCGCTTCCGCTGGACCCAGAGCATGCTTGGGAACTCCCCGCTGTGAGTCTTCTTCGCCGCCTGCCGAGTTCGGTGCGTTCGGTGCGATGAAACGGAAGCCGACTTGCGGAAACCGGATTACCGCTCTCTTCAGCATGCGGTCAGAGACGCTGTGTCACTTGTGTGACATCACCCGCAGTGCAGACATGCACACTATAGATCAATCCACTAAGGGCTTTGGGCATTTTCATAAAATTGCCGGGGTCAAAAAGGGCATTTTCGATAGGCTGTACCGTCGGAACTGCCCAAACATGGGTGCTCATTTCCCTCTCTTACCTTAGCAGAATGGTCTATCGCTGCCAGCTTATCTTGCAGAGCCGGCAGAGGGCAGGGGGATCGTCGTCACTGGTGCTCTTTGGCTGCTTAGTTTTGGTTTGAAGACATGTACAAGGGTCGCATATCTTGCCCCGTAACACCCACTACATATTTTTTAATGAAAATTTCACGGCATGTCGAGACCATATGAAGGCTGAGCCTGAATTTTCCGAAAAACCCCCGTAAAAGAAACTAAAAAAAGTTGGTGAAACATTTGAGTTAATTAGCTGCCTAATTAACCTACTTTGCCTCTTTCCTAATGGCTACCAACTTGACCCAAGGGCTAAGAGGAACCCTAACACAAATTGCCTTTCTAAATAATTCTAAACCGACTATAAAAAAAAAAAAAAAAATCGCCCTATGTAATTTCTTTTTTTGCACCTGGGTCAATGCGCTAAGTTTCTGACTCCAGAAATTACGAACCATTCTAATCGCGGTCTGTATTTGTCGTTAATGTTTCCTATCCTTTCAAACTCTGGTAATTGTGTTTACAATAACACACTCGTGCTGATTAGTATTAAATTGATGTTCTGAAGCGGATGTGGTTCAGACGCAAGAGTGTTGTAATGTTATAATTGCTCTGGAGGAAAAACAACAAGTCTTTTTCTTTGCCACCAGGGTCCAGTCTGATGCAGTCTTCGAGCTCGTTTCCATCTGCCAAAATGTGGGGATTTGGCACATGAAACGTGCCTCCACAGTGGCTGCCAAAGAAGAGTATGTCCTACCTGCTTTTCTTATTTTTTTTCCTTCATGTATTGCAATCAGTATTGCATGCTCAACTGACGGAATAGTGGAAAAGGCCTGGCAAAGATTGCTAGTGCTTGCACAGTTACAATGAATGTATCGGGGTCAAATTTGCTGCCAGCATTAGTTTCCCACAAACTCGTTTCAAGCTGCAATAAAAGGAGCATTTTTCTTTTTACACGAGCACAAAGGTCATTGGTTACTTAAGTTGTTCTCAATCTTTTTAACATTGTAGAAGATAACTAGTTATTTTTTTTTTTAACAGGTTTAGGCCGATCTTATTGTCGAAAGGAACTCCCAGACGAGCGCATAACAGTTTGTGCCAGTATAAAAACAGGTATCATGCGTTTTAAAATGGTAATAGTGCTCGCCGACAACGGGAACTGGTGGCATCTTGGATTTGCCATCACATTTGTGTCAATCTTATCACGGGTGTACAGTCGAGTTGCATGCAACATGCGCGCGGACATAGCCTCCGGTCTTTCGTAAGCCGGACTTCAGCCGACTAGCAGCGCGAGCTAAACTTGTCTTTCCAATCACTTCAGCATCAACATGGACGAGGCTAAAGACGTTCACAAGTGTCTGAGGAAAGCGGCGGGCTTCTTCCAAGCAATGAAGGTAAGCGTTCAATGCTCCCTCTCCAACAAGAACGAAAGTAACTGTTTTATTTGTATAGTGCCATGCCACATATCTAGACATGGGGTGGCGCTACGTTACCTGAATCGATGCGTAATTATGCTTGAATTCAATCTCCCCGCAAAATTTAGCGGGAAAACGCTTCTGCGTCAAGTCACGGTGCCACAAGATACCCGCCATGGTGTTGGGTCACGCGAGCCTGTTGCGTAGCATCAATTGGTATACTTGCATGCCAGTTCAATTTCACACTAAATTTGGCGGGTAAAACTGTGTGCAAATGCACGGGGAGAGAAACTTCCGGTAGTAGGGACATCCGTTACGAAGCATTCAATGCTTTAATACCGGATGCGGCCGCCAGTCCGCAGAGGCATAGAGGACGACAGATTGTGCAAACTAGGCAAACGGTGCCATTGTTCCCGGTAATTCGTCTCGCACGGCGGATGATGACAATAAAGAGTGCGTAAGAATGTCTGTACTCTTGCGAAAATGACAGAACAATTGTTTTTCTTTGTTTGCACATTGTTTTCAAGGACAAATACGTTGGACAGCTCCGGGAGCAGCCAGTTCCTGGGTCTGACCTGGACTCCCGCGTGGTGTCTGCGTACACCAACCAGTGCACCGCAGAAGCACAGGAAGGTAGGGACGTGTTCCGCTCGTGTTATCTTCAAAACGTCGTCCACGATGTACGACATGGATGGCATTTTCCTTTCCAAAATGTTATCTATGACGTCTAAAATGCATTACATTTTTTGTTTTTAAAAACCGCATCCATGACATAAACGGAATGTTTTTAATTTAAAAAGAAAACATAATCTGATGTTCTTTTAACATAAAACATTCTTTGGCTAGGTGTTTGGCATCTTATTTCGAGTGCGGTTTCTTTAGGCATCTGTGTCCCATCTTTTTGACTGGTTGGTATTGACCCTCCTTTCCTGCAGTGACAATCGGCAGAGCGATCGAGATGAAGCATGCACCGGGACTCATCTCTGCCCTTGCGCATGAGACATCCAAGATGTATACCTCTGCAGGTAAGCGTACGGAGCACCAAATTGAAGTACAGGGACACCACGCTGCGTGCTTTCAGTTGTCTCGTTCTCTTGTGCAAGTGGCCGGCAAGTTGAGTAATGTACATAAAAAATAAGATCCAGACCAGGTAGGCTGCTGTGAGGTTCCTAACAAATGCCCACCTAGGATGGCGAGCCAAACAGTGAAAAATGTAGTGCAGGCAATCTTACGGTTTGTAACACCAAGGATTCATACAAAAACGAGCACCCGACATGTGGGCACCCACTATGAACTTGTACGACACTGAATCCGATTATGCAGATTGTGGACGCGGTGAATGTCTCCGCGGTGGACTCCAAGAATGTTTTCACGAGTCGTTTTATCGGTTGCCACAGAATCTAATTTGCAATCCGCCGTCGGTGCAGTCGGTGCGGTGGTGCGTGCAATAAGGTGTGTGCGATCACGCTACTTTTTTTTCTTTTTTTGCCATCTAAGCGTTGCAGGATTTTTTTTTTTTTTTTTTTATCATGACGAGATAATATAGAAAGTCATAGATCTGAAATCTTGGAAACTTCATTTTCGGGGGCATAAATCGGCATCCATGTACAATCCACGGAGTTCGGAATGCCGGCATATTTTCTTTTAAAAGGGAGCTTGCCAGCTGGAGGAGGTCAGTCGACGAATAGCTCATTCCACATCTGTCCCGTTGCACATCGCGCGAATCCGACGGAGTGGTTTTCGGTTTCTGCGATTTTCACCCCGCAAACGTTATCTCAGAAATATGGGATGGGAAATTTTTCATGATGGTCGTTCGGCGAGGATTTTACGATGCTTTCCATAGTAATGCCGCCGAGGACAAACTTTTGTCGAATCGGTGTTGGCAGAAAGTGGAGGAAAAAAGGCTCAAGGTACACCTAAGCACTTCTTACGAGTTGTCAATGCGAAAGCACGAATGTCGTTCTTGCTCGCATTCTCGTGAAGTTTTTGCGCCGTTTTCAGAGTATGCTCAAGCGGGCTCCCTCTGGAAGGCCCTGCCTCTGAAACATTTTCTTTTCCCGGCGTACTCTGGCGCGGGCACGTGGCGCCATGGGGTGGCTGGAAACTGATGCGCCTCGGCCAACAGGAGCCTCGTTCCTTGAAACTATGATTTGTGCCAGCCAATGGGAGCCCTATCCATGAGATGTCAGCGTCACTTAGAGAGGTGAATTTATTTGCTGTTTGGCCCAGCCTTTTGCGTGGCTTCAAAGCTGGGGTGCCTCAGATCGCGGCTTCACTTCGCTTCATTGGGAGAGGGGAATTTATCCGCCGTTTGGCGCGGCTGCAGACGTCGGGTCACTCCCTGGGACAGTTAACGCTTTCGCATTAATAAGTGACAACATCCCCGAACGTAGCTCTCAACTCTGGTGGGGGTCTGGGAATGTGTGCGGCGTTTTTAGAGCGTCGTCTTTATTGCCACCCAGGTGCCCCGAAAAGCCAGGTTTTAAATCTTGCCACTCGGTCATTGCAAGTGACTCCTCACCAAAGTGGCTACCGCCGCTTTGCTCGGGACTGTGACGCATCTCCAAAACGTGCCTTCTACCCTTTGCAGCGGACTCCCTCGCCGGACTGGAGCCGTCCAAGTTTGGGCGGTGGAGGAAGTTTCTCATCCTCAAGGCCGTCTTCTATCTCTCCTACGTAGGTGCCCCTTCTCTGTCCCAATACATTTGGGAAATCGTGCCAGCATGAGCAGGCACAGTTTCCAGAACGCACGAGACGGAAGACAAAACTGGTGGCACGGCTGCGGGGGCCTTTTGATCCGCACGCTGCTGATCTGTGCTCCGTCGGAATGCGCTTTTTACAGCAGAGCTGTTATGGGCTAGGATCTGAGAAAAAATGCGTCCACGGATGTTGACAGAAAACTCCACATTGGTCGTAACAAGTGTGAATAAATAAAAATAGAAAGAGGGGGCAACCAGCGTGAGTCAGCCTTCCTTGGCATTATTAAGTAGTGAGGTCCTGCTCCCTTGTTGTCATCTCTAGGCATTGTCCTCGAGATCGTCCTGGAGGTCGTCCTAAAGGTCGTCCTAGACGTCGTCATCCTAGGCAATGTCCTATAGGCTTCGTCCTAGATGTCGTCTTTGCGGTCGTCCCGGACGTTGTCCTAAAAGTTGTCCTTGAGGTCATCCTGGACGTCGTCCTCTGGGCATCGTCCTAGTTGTCGTAAAAATAACAGCTTCGCTCGTCCTCCATCTTCACAAGAAGTGGAAGGGCTCTACAATATTTTGTCGTAGTTTCGGGTCTATGGTACAAGGTTGGTTTCTTAAGGATGGAATGTGTCATGTATGGCTGGCTCCTGGCCACCCATGGGTAAAGCACCCCTGCAACGAAAGAGCGCAGTGTCGTCAATCGGCTGTCGCTCGTGTTTGCACCGATCAAACCCCAGCCAATTGCCGACGCAGCACTTGTGTCCATTCTGCTTTGGCAGATGTTTTTTTCCGGATGCTTTGCACGACGACGTTCGATGCGCAAATAACCTACTGAGGAAAGCGCGGTATGTTCTGTGCTGCTGTTGCCTTTGCCTCAATAGTGCAAAAAAGGGGGCGAATTGTTTTTCCCTGCCTCCTCCGGTCATGCAGGCCTACTGCTATGCTGGCGAGAACCTCCTGGCTCAGGAGAAATGTGGAGAAGCCATCAGGGCACTCCAGGAGAGCCACAAATGTGAGTGTGTCCCCGTTGCGAACAAATGCATCTCGATCCGACGGACAGAGCTCGGAGACACGGAGTGCGCGGCACAATTAGAGCTGTGCCGGGAGTTAACGAGCTTGAAAGGCGCTCTGCACACGATGTGTCTCCCGGCTTTATTTGCACGATTAAGATAGCTTTAAATTCTCGGTCCTTCAAATGTTCTTGAAAAAAATTGTATATTGCCTTACGAGGGGCTCTCGGTCAGCGCCGTGCATAGTTCCAACTTGTATTTATTTTCTCGTGCGCCGATCTGGGTTCCAGGCTACCAGGACGCAGTGCAGATCTGCAAGCAGTATGCCGGCATGAAGGGGCCTGGCACCACGGCCAGGCTGGACCAGCACCTGTTCTTCCGCAAGCTGGCCCCCCTCGTCAAACGCACCCTCGACAAGTGTGAAAGGGAGAATGGATTCATGTGAGCCTACGATCCCGAACTGCTACCGGACTGCACATCTGCGCAACTCTGGCTAGAGTCACCGACAGAGCGAGTCTTTTGAACGTCCGGCACTGCAGTAGAAAGATGTTAGCGCCGTGTCCAAAGTGCTGAGTAAGCGTAGCATCGTACGACAGTGCTTGGCAGACTGTACTGCACCGCTTTTCGACCAGATGAAGCAAGGTACATATGGAGGTTTGATATTAATTCGAACGGACTCCTTATAAAAAAAGTCGTGAAAGGTACAACGCGCAGTTTGTGCGGGTGAGTTATGCGGCTAGGGGGACGTAATATGGGGATGGAACATGGGCATTCGTTAATTAACTTTTTAATTATTGAAAATGGACACGATTTCATTAGAGAAATGGTTCTCGACCACCAATGTTTCGGGGACCCCTTCTGGATCGGCAGAAGTGACCAGGTACCCCATCTGCCGGAGGGGGAGGGGGCGGTACGCAGAGAGCAAGTTGCCTGCTTCTTGCGCAGGAGTTGCAGCAACGTCAGAATTGTGCCGAGCTCTGAATGGCTTCGATTGAAAGGATAGTGGGTAGACCTTAATGCTAGATGCCTTGAGATCTGCCCACTATTTTTTTCAATCAAACAATAAGAGCTCGGCATTATGGCATCATCGCAACCCCTGTGCAAGAAGCAGACGAACTTGCGATCCACATTGAACGAGTGCAATGACAACAGGGTAAACGAACGGAACTAAATGCCATCTTTGCAGCACCGAAATAGAAAATAATCAACCTCTACTTAGTGCACATATTTCGTCTACTTGGCTTTGTGGGGCAGCCAGTGTCAATAAAAAAATGTTTCGGTGCCAGGTTTGATTGATATTCTAACGCTTCTGGGAGCCCGATGGCCTTCAGGGACGCCAAGAGGTCCGTGGATCCCCCGTCTGAAGACCGCCATGAAATCCACTAAATCGGTCAATTTTAGAACAACTCGAAGCATGCGCTTTATTTTTTGGGGGGTCCCAAAAATGCATTCAAATTCAACGAGGTTGTGCGTTTTCTTTTTGGTTTCTCATCGTCCACGTTTCTGCGCCGTCGGCCTCGCGCTGAATGCTTGAGCGGCGACTTCGACACAGCGCCGTGCTTCGCACCGAAGTGCCACCGACGTCTAGTGGGTATGTTTCTGCAGCTTCCACCAGAAGGTGCCCAAGGACGCACCCGAGCTAGAGCTGAGGGCTACGTACGGCCTCGTAAGCCCCGAGGACTTCCAGCTGCCCCCCCACGACAAGGCCTGGACCCCCGTCGTGTACGCGGCCTTCTACGTCCCGCCGCCCGCCGGTCCTGACCCCGGGAACTCGGTCAGTCTTTCCTCGCACCCTCTCTCGGCGCTCTTTCTGCGAGCCGGTCGGGCACCGAAGCCTTGGTCGCCCAAAACGTGTCTCCGACGCATCCTCTTTTTCAGGTGCTAAAAAAAAGGACCACGTTTGAGGACGCAGTCCCGTCTTCAACCGTGGTCCTCAAAACGTTTGTTAGCGTTTTGTTACACGGCGACGCGATGGACGATCAGTCCCGTTCTCGCAGCTAGCGACACAGCAGTGGGATAAGGGTGCGTAATGAAAGCTTCAGATATAACGCTAATGGGACGGGCCGAATGACTGAACTTCGTAAAGTGTCTCCCAAGAGGCTTTCACACGTGCCTAGGTTTTAAGTGATCGAGAAGAAAATACTTGCAACTCGAAATCTGGCTTTTCTTTTTTCGTCTGCAGAAGAACGACGGGGTTTTTTCGATGGCATTGCAAAACTTGGTACATTTTACGGTAAACTGTCCGAGGCTCATCCTCCCTGCCTGTCATCTGTTTTATGCTGATAGCCATTGTGGGCTCTTGCCACCACTGGAAATGACGACCGTTGCTGATGTCTTAGTTGGCGACGTAGGGCGTTTGTCGTCGATGTTTGCGAATCCTCAAAAAAGATCGCCCGCCGTCCGCGGAAATCGAACATGGGCGTGCGACGCAGAGGCGTTACCACTGAGCTACGGCACGGCATTAAAAATCCGCTTTTAACTTGGGGGATTCATAGTACCTGGTGCCCAGTGCACGTGCTCTCTGGAAAAAGAAAATAGCAGATAACAAAATGCCGTCGTAGCATTGTCAGTGCCAAGGGCGTGTGCCAGAAGACACGCTTTCACCTGTTCCGGAACAAGAAAGAAACAAAAGCGTTTGAAACAAAATAAAACACAACAAAAGCATTCGGAACAAAACTGGTGTCTGTTTTGTTCACAACACTTTTGTTCACTCCACGTTGCGTGAACGCCAGTTCCCGACGACTTCGCCGTGACGTGTTGCAGCTGTTGCTGCGACTGTGCTGTACGTTAACGCAGGACTGCTCAATTTTTTTGTTTCATTTGTTCCTTCTTCTCAGCAGATATGTAGCTCCGGAGCAGTAACTTAATGAAGTGGTGTCTTGACACTGTGTATAATTACATGCTCAGCTGCATTCTCAGCGTTTTTGTCATCGTATCTTTCACACCCGTAAATTCTCTCCTCAGCGCATGAATTGCAAAATGCTGTTATACTTGGCGAATAGATAGGTGCGCCACATTGCGCGTGTCAGCTTTTAAATCTTGAAAAGTTCAGCCAATGCTACGAGCTGACAGGGTCGGTTGGGCAGCTCCGAAACCTCGGCGTCTCAGCATTTGTAGTCTTTTCCATGCTCGTCCCATCACCAGAGGAAACGGTCAACACAGTGAGTGTGCCGCGACCTTTTGTTTTCTGCTCTGTGCTTCCGTGTTTTGATGTCTTGCAACTTTTGGAACTAAGTTTAACCCATATTTCTGCCATGTCCGTTCTGTTTTTGTCCGTCAGCGAATCGGGGTTTTACCTGAGGACATAGGATTTCCAGCTAAACAGAAACACAAACGTCTTTCGTTTCTGAACCAGAAAGCGGCGATCAAGGCCGAAGGCGACCTTCCGGCGGTGCAGGAGAAGAGTGTGTCCCACTCTGCGGCGGACCCCAAGACGTCGAGCGGGTGCGTTCTCCAGTGAAGAAAGAACTCGCTATCAACACGGCCAGGATGGCCGACATAAAGAGTTTCCTCTAATATATATATATAAATATATACAATACTGTATAAATAATGTGTGCTCCGAACCTAACTCGTGCCCAGTGTGCGATTTGTAGGGGCCGGTTGCCGTTTTCGAGCACTGTCCACCCCCTTCGAGTGTTTGATGGTCATCAAATGGATTCTACCAGTGCGCGAGGTTAGCTTACATTTTTTTGTTCTTGAGCAGAATGTCAACTGTAGCTTGTCCCCGTTTGGTTCAGCGCTCGGCGAAGTCTAAAGCCTGCTCGACCAACGACGTCGGTATGTCGAACTGCAATCTTTGGACATTGTGCAGCAATTCAGCACGTTCCATTGGGGGAGTCGACTCGCCTCTGCTAAACGACTCATCGAAGCGGAACGCGCTTCAATCTTTACATGGAGGAACGACGTTCCGTGCCGACATTACCAGGCTAGTCCAGAAAACTTGCGGTTGAGCAAGCCACATTTTATGTGTAAAGCCTTTTTTGGATGTCACTTTTTCTTATATTCGTTTTTTATCGCTGGATTTTCCTCGGCCGCCAGTTTATCCTCGAGTTTTGACACATCCGGCATGCAATAATGTGGCTCGCAGCCACAATTTTAGCAACTCTGAATTATTAGTGCCACTTGGCAGGAGCACTCCTTCGTCACTTTACCAGCATTTGTGCTTTCCCCGTTTCCGATGTTCTTGCGGTTTCCTCTGCTGAAAGGTTACAAGGAAGCATTTCTTACTACCATACAAGCAGGCAGCTAGATGGAAGAGCCACCTTGTTGTTAGCTCGCTGCTGTTGCACAACTTCTAGAATTTTCTCGTCTGCATCTGCGTGTCTGTGCATGTGTGTTGTTTGTACCCCTGCCCCACTTCATATGCATGCCAGATCTTTGATTTTGCTGAAAATGGGTTGTGACGCTGCGATTCTGAAAGCTTTCGCCAAAGCTGGAGCCTCTTTGTAACTGGTGCTTTTAAAGGCCGATGACCAGTTTGCACTTTTCACTTTCCCCCGCTTCCTCCCCTCCATCTTTCTACCCTGTCCATCGTTTCCTATTTCCTCCTCCCCATGATGAGGAGGATCTTCTGCCTTGCAGAATCTCGAGTCTGGTCGTCGGCCTTTAAGTGCAACATTGCTTTTTGTAACCGTTCAACTTCACAATCTTATGTACGCTGCACAACATGTTAGCATGAATGCAACATCCACGGTATTTTTTCTGCTGTGTTTTACCGATATAGTTTAGTAGCAAACAAAACATTTTACTGCTCAATTTGGAGGTTTTTCTCAGCACTTTTAATACCATACTGGTATTTTTGATGACATTGTTTCAGCAGGGAGATAAACAGAAAAACAAACTCGGAACTGCGTCGTGCTCTGTACAGCTGGGAATGGACGACGTGCTAGATATTTTTCTTCCCATTATACTCAAGACGTTTACTAGTAATATTTTTGCTCGTCCTGGGATCTAATCCATACGTCTTGCAAAGATGTAGCACGCTGTTTGCTTGTGGCAGTATTAACACCACCGTGAATCTCGTGAAAGCAGAAAGGACCACACTGCTGTTGTAGACTTAGGAAGCCGCTGTTCCCTCGGCGTGCAGAGTATTTTTGGCTACCCCAGGTTCTCTGTGTATTCTGCTTCCTAGTCGGGTGCAACATCTGAATTAAAAGCCCTCGAGCAGCCATTATTTGAAGCTTTTCTTGTTGTACCATAGAAGTGGTACTAGAATGTGCGTCTGCTAGGACGAACTAACTTTGTCTATACAGTGGAACCTCCACGTAGTAAAGGAAAAGGTATTGATGACGTGAGCTGCATGTCGTTGCAATGAATACACTGGTATAGTGAAGCCGTTGTTTTCTTTCTTAACGAGCTGGCTACTGAACAGGTTCCACAGTACATCTCTATGTGCATATGCAGACTAAAGCTGACCGCATAGATGCAAACGCTATTTTTGTACGGCATGAGGCAAAGAAAAGCTCCGCAATAAAATGCTTGCAATGTCTGTATTCTTTCCTTCATTGTGCGTCGTCGTCGTATTCTTCCGCCTATAATTGTAATATTTATTTTTCTATCCATAAAGAAACAAATCGCTTTTATAAAATAAAGTAAATTTGACTTATTTAAAATGCAGGTGGAGTCCACAACTGCATAAGCCTTCTTCTATGAACTTGTAGGGTGCCCGCCGTGCCCTCCGCTTCGAAGCGGTCTTTGAGGACATGAGCCGTGACGTCCACGCGGCAAAGCAGCGCTGTCAAGACGTAGTGCAACTTGGGTTTTCCGTAGAGCTGCAGTTCTGCAATGAAGAGGGAAGAATTCACGACAGAGCTTTTTAACGTGAGAATGTGTGATATAGAGCTGGGTTTCATAACAAAAGCGACACGCTTGACCAATACACAGGTCACACGACCTCGCACCACGTGACATCATGATGCCATTGCTGCACCACTTGCACCAAACTGCCCAAGCGCCTACCCTGCAATGTCCCGCTACATTTTGACAAAACGTGATGAATTTTCTCCAACGTCGCGCCCAAACATACTTTTCCTTTATTAATACTAAAAATAAAATTGCCAAAGACCCGCCAACGGCCGGATTGTTACGGTAGGCTTGTCCAAACTTTATTCGACTTGATCTCTGTATCAAACACCGACGGTACTCGGAGGTCTCAGCAATATTCTCGCGCTCGTGGTCTGTTCTGTTGGGTTAGGTAGCTTCGTTGAGTGTGCTTCTCCCTGCGCACTGGTGCACTGCAGCAAAACGAGAACCGCCAAGCATAGTAATTTTTTGTGTTGTGCTTTGCTGCAGTGCAGCCACATACTAAGGGGAAAGACTTCTCCAAAGCAAGGCGTTGCACACAAATGTGTATGTCTATTAAGAAAAAAAAAAAAAAAAAGAACTTTGTAAGTGTAAGTAAGTAAGTGTAAGTGTAAGCAACAACTCTACCTGCACTAAACAATTTTGAATAAAACTGCGGCTAGTATACATGACAGACTGCAATATCCTGACGATTTTTGCGTTCAAACTCGAGATCCAGCAAGGATACTTGTGCGTTGCAGGAAAGTTTACACAGACTTCTCTATAAGCTTTATTCGTTTTGTGTCATCTCTCTGGTTTAGTTTTTACCTTTACATAGGTTCCATCTGTGTGGTGGCACAGTGGACGGAGAAAATTAAAACTTAAATTAGCTGGATGGGTGGTTGGAAACTGGGGAACAACCTTGGTGAGTTTGGCTGGGTTGTTTCTAGGGCTTATTGATCGTTCAAATTGCCGATTCTAGTTATCATGAAGTCCCACATGTAAATTGTCATTGATGCTAGTAATCAAATGACAAAAGCTTCGTTTTTATCTGAATTAATAATTCCAGTTTTATCACCACCTTTAGGACTTCAATGAAACATCCGCTTAGATGCTCAATATTATTCTTTCCTAACATGATTTCTGTGGGATATACTACACAGTTTAGCTTCGACTTTGTAATTGCACCTAAAATAATCATTCGCAGCAGTTCGTGCTGTCCTTCATTATTCAGCACGTTGTTGTCGTGCTTGGTGCTCCTACACGCACCAGCTAGCTCTGTGTTTGAGGGAATCAAACTTGCCGTGCAACTGACAATAACAAAAGGTTGCACAGAAGTGGGAAGGAAAAGTAGACAGTGTCCCTTGATAGACAGGCCAACAGGTTAACCTTAATAATAATTGCAGTGGTGAGAATAAAAACGATGTGTAAACTTGTGCTCCAGAAGTTCCATCTGCTGTTTTAAAAGGAGCCGGACCGATCACATCACTGCAAATGGCACTGCGACACCCATGTGCCTGCCATATACATTACATCAGTTCAGAAAACCACTTCACTTCCATTCTTGTGTGCAGCACTACCGTTTAAATGGTTAAATAGAATGTTCATGCATGGTGTTTGTTAGTAAAAACTGACATATTGGCTTTAGAGGTCTGTTGAGGGGCTGACAAGATTTAATTGCATACTGATCGCTTGGGCCCCATACTAGCTTTCGTGGACCTGCGTTCTAAACTGCCAACGCATGGAATCACTAAAACGGTGTTCCCGGTATCCGTTATGCACTGGCCAGCTATTGGACTATGATCAGGAGATGGCAGATTGTGTTCTAGCACTGCTCACAAAGCTACAATTTACATGCCAGACATCTTGCATATCAGACTGCTTCAGGCTTTGAACTGACTTCAGAATCACATCTAGGCCACAAATTTAACAGGGGCCATGCGATTCCAAACGTTCGACGGCCTACAAGTACCCTACGTGTGCGACAGATGGAAGCCATCTCGGGGTACTTGACATGGTTGTAAAAAATACACAGTTGCCTAAAAAGATATAAACGGTGTAAAGCACGCAGCATAAGCATTTGACGATTGATTGGCAGAAAAGAACAGATGACCACACAATATGTTCTTACCAAGTGGACGTTAGAAGATGGAAAATATTTACACTGTGGTAATTAACCAAATGATTAAGGAAAAACGGTTTGAAGCAAGCTATTAGTCATGGTATCGAACAGCGAGAAAAAAATTATTGTGCAGATACAGAGATTGGCCTGTAGTTTGCGTAAGACTCGCCAGCTTGTAGTATCGATCTTTCTGCAGCACTATTAGTAACTTTTGTAGAACCGCCGTTAGGCGTCTTGATTTTCCACTTGCCTCGTTCCCCACTCTGGCCGAGGAAGGCTTCGAGGACAGCACAGGTCTCTTTCAGTTCCCCGAGGAGCTTGCTCTCTTCTTCCGAGAAGAGAGCTTCAAGTTCTGTCCCGTAGCAAATTTTCGAGTCGTCCACGGCAACCTGCGTACCGCGGACAAGGCCTCGTATTCGTATTAACGCTGTGGTTTTCAGCGATAACAGGATCAACAAAAGTGACGATACCTTCAAGTGGTCGCGGAACAAGAAAAGGGTAACCATGGGCTCGAAGAAGACTTCGCTCTCGTCCTGCTCGAAGAGGCCGCTCGTGCTGAAACTAAAAAGTTGTCCGAGTCAGTGACTGGTTCAAAGCAATTTCAGACGGTAAGCAATTCATTGTTGCCAGCTGTCTAAAGTTTTCTCTGAAATAGTAAACAATGAAGCCGAAATTGCTGCCGTCGCTACGCCGATTCTCGACGAAACGCATCCGCATTTGGTGCAGGGGTTCCGATTCGGGGAAGGATGATAATTCCGACTTCGCAATGGTTCACACACTTTGGAGAGCCGGTCTTGTTCCTTTGGACGTCGGCGGTTTCGAATGCAGCCACCGCAGCTCCCCTCGATTTACGCCTATTTTCCGCATACCATTCTCTTGGAAGAGCTAATCTTTCCTCCCGGGTGCCGACGATTTCACACTAATGATGGCGTCGCTGCACTTCGGTTTCACATTGCCGCGTACACTGTGCCACTGCCACGGCTGCTCGATCCTTCGCTTCCGCGGTGCGTCATTGGAAGTGTGCCATGAGACTCTTTCCCTCTCGTAAGAGGAAAAGTTGGTAGGATCGAGCGAACGAAAAGAGCAAAAGAGCACGGAGAGAACTGCGCGTCGGCCTCCTAAAATCTAACCAGTCCAAACCACGACCGTCGTAACAAAAGATGGCTGCGTGCGCCAAGGCCATAAATGCTGATGGATTTATAAATGATTTTTCATCTTCCAGAATTGTTAAGACAGACCACGATAAAGCAGAACTATATCGCCCGAGCTTTCTCGACACTGTATCCAAAACTCAAGCATCGGCATTCTTGAATTGTGACGATTGCCGACTGTACCTGCTCTGTGCTAAGCCACCAAAATGGCAGAACACAGAAGGAAACCAAAGAACTGAGTGCTGATACGAGCATAGTTTATCGAGTGGCTCCGAGCTACGCTGATACCTGGCACTGTTTCCATAGTTTTTGGTCAGGCAGCACAGACAATATGTACCTACACGATTTCCTGTAGTTGAGGCATGCTTTGATCTCGTGCCATTCTCTAGTGCATACCTTGCAAGTCTCTTGTATTACCCGGGAGACTCCCGAATTTTGACGGATTTATACGGTTGTACGAGTGAGAAAAAAATCTCCCAGAAAACGTAAATTACCACCCTCCCCGCACTTAAACAAGAAGTCTGGCGTTGCAACAAACGGCTGCGATGATAACAAGGCCCAGCTGTATCTTGCTAGCATGAGCAGTGCAATATAAATGTAATGAAGTTACCTTCATCTAAATTTATCAATATTTATTTTTAAACACCGCAACTGCCCCCCCACCCTCCTTCCTTCCTTCCTTCCCCGGCTTAAACATTCTCCCGGATTTAGTTTCTCCGAACTTGGCAGGTATGCAAATGGTATAAAAACACTTGCTTCGGTTTGCACCAGGAAAACACAGGTTCGTTGACATCGCCATCGAAATCTTGACCTATCTTTGCCCCAAAGTGCAAGTTTTTGATTCAATAATATTTTCGCGAATAAGCATGTGTGACTATTCTGAACTACTGAAATCAAATATCAATGTACTAGTATCTAAGAAAAGTGTATGGCAAACTGCTAGGCAATAGTGTTGCGTACGTGAAACGTTCTAGCATCAGAAATGATTATATCATTGTTTCGCAGCACATCTAGCCTACGTTCACAGTGCTCCTCATCAGATTCAATGCGTGGCATGTGTACACTTGAAATGATAAACCTCGCGATTCCCCCAGAACCTTCTTACCTACCCCTCTCTCACCTCGCCTACCTCTCCTCACTCGATTCCCAGTCACATGACCTCCCCGTAACCAACCAGCGTTGAGCACCTCGCTCCTCTTTGCCACTCGTCAACCAATCCGTGCAGAGCCCCACAGCCACGCTTTTATCCAGGCTTCACACTTGGGTTTCACGAAATGCTGAACACCTAATCAAAGAATATTTTGTGTTAAAATTTTAGAACAATTTTGATTCGCTCAAGGTAACAGCACGGACCGTTCTACCTCCGTCGAGCTTCCTCGCGCAGCGCAGGTGTGCTGTGGCAAAACAATGTGACGGTTATTTCCTTGCTGTTTTGTCCAATTTTACGTGACAAAAAAAGAAAAAAAAAGATGTTTAAATGTTTGTTTGCTGGAAACCAGAAAGTCTTACGAATAACATCAGAAAATTTAACTTGCAAAGTCAACGGCTGGACAACGTATGCAAGGTTCCTTACTCGGGTGTACCAAGCTGGCGCTCAACCTCGAGGTGAGTGGAGGAGTCGCATGCGTGGAGTTTGTCCATGAGGAATCTGACTACTTCCAGCTGACCTCTACAAACTTGTACCATCCTCTTGAAAAGATCCTGGGCAGAGTACAATAATCACTACACTCCGAAAGTAGTGCACAGAAGGGCCCAAACTATGGAGTGGTCCTAGACTGCAGATGTCTCCAAACATCATGCCATAATTCGGCACAAACACTGCGGCAGCGTAGGTTTTTGACTTCGTCAACCGAACATTATGGAATAAGAAAACACTCTCCACTGATATAGGCTCGATGTTATAAGGTGCAGGTTATTAGACGATATACATATGGTCTCTTGGGCATTGTACTACGTTAACATTATGAAGGAATTGCTGCCACGTTTCATATATGAAAAACTTTCCCCTCTTGCCAAATTCCTACTTGACTGACTTTATGATTAAGATTTTGAGGAAAATAAAAGTGTAAACTCCAGCTGTATCCGTGCGCTGTAGTCACCTAGAGGTCACGAGTGGCACTCCATTTCGGGTGCAAGTAAATTTATTCTTGGATGTCTAATACAACAACCAATTATTTGAATCTCGGCATTCACGTGCTCGGTTCGCAAGTCCAATCTCTGTAAACCGGAACCGAAACTTATTACAGTGGAGTCTTAATTTGAACCCAAGGGAGACCAGGACTTTGTTTGATTAACGCAAAGTTTGATTTACCGGGAGATTCCTTCCTAGAAACACATAGGACGGGACCCTGCTTGTCAGTTTGAATTAAGAGACTTTGTTACTCACCCTAACTGCAAGGTTGGGTTGCACGGGACTTGGCTGTTCACAGAAACAAGGACGCCGTTAAACAGGAAATCATGCAAACGCTTCTACGCAAACGATTTTTCGACAAAAGGTACCTGCAGAGCGCGGGCTTCATAAGTAAATGCGGCAGCTGCCTCCGACCGAATCCGGGGGTCCCCGTCTTGCAGGAGTTGCAGTGTGATGTCGAACACGCTGCAAGCGAAAATCCCAAGCTTTTCTTCAGACGCAACGCTCTGCCAAACCGTCTTCCTTGCACGCCTCCGGCCGACGCATCGTTTTGGCCAATGGTACGGCACGCCAGTGGCATTCGTAATGTCGGTGCCACTAAGAGTCTGCAAGAGATGGTGGCCTGCCACGGCAACCTAATCTGGAAACCCGAGGGGGCGAATCTACCGTGTTGCTGTCCCAAATTCATGACTTCAAGAAGTTTGGTTAGAAACCAAAATTCTATGGTCACTGGCAAGGTGGGACCGGAAAAGAGTCAGCTTCGGTTTTAAAGCCTCAAGGGGGAGATTCACACTTTCGACAATGCTTCGACAACTCGCACACCTCGAGTACAGTAGAATCTCGTTAATTCGAACAACAAGAAGACACAATTTTTTTTTTTTAATTTTCAGAAATTCAGTTAAAATTATTGCAAGATAAATATATGATTTATTATATGGATGGCTAGACATACAAAACAGATATCTGATGATTTCCTCTAGTACAGGCTTACTAATCATAAGCAGGTACGCCACACGTGAAACAATGGTGAAATGCACGAGACAAGCTTATTCATCCCTCAAAAATGTTGCCCATCGTGGACTGTTTGGCCAGCGTGCGACACCTCAAAACAAAATTAAGTTGCTTCATCCAGCAAAAGAGTTGTCTATGTATTAGCCCCTGTAGAGCGCACTCTTGCCGAGCACCGGTGCGCTGCGGAAAAGCAACACCCGCGGGGGGCGAGCTCCGCGGGTGTTGTTTTTCTACTGACCGAATTGAGAGATGTCTCGCATCAAAAACTGGGTACCAACAAACGGAGTAGTACATTGAAACTATTCACAAAGGTGTCTTTAGGTGCTGTGTTTATCATGCCCAAATTTTATGAGCGTAGGTATCACGCCCTAAAAGCGCTCGGAAACACCCTCTGCATTTGCTGGGTAAAACATGATTTTACACCATATGAATGTAATATATATCTTTGCCACTTTTAATGGAAGCATGGGATCACCTCTGGAGCACCACGTGGTCAGGGGGGTCGCACCGGGAGGCCCAGTTGAACGCTGCGTGGCCGGTCGTCCGTACCGACCGCGCCACTTGGAACCAGACAATGTCGGCGGTTGTCTCGGCTTCCGGACGACCTTCCAGCGCAGCTGCCAGCGAAGACAACCACGCGTGGACGCTCTCCCCAAGTGTTGCAGGAGTGCTACGAGACATGAGGTTTCACTAAGCAATGGAGAAGAACAAACAAAGAAAGCTAGCGGGCAGTGTTTCGGCGTTGTGGGAGCATTGCAGTTCCCACTGATTTACACCTAGCTTTTTATCATAGTAGGGGCCCCATGCTAGACACTTAGTTGTTTTTTATTTTCTCTTTTATCTCGCAGCAACATTGCCATGTGGTCGCGAGTGCGCGTGATTAAAAACATTCCATCCGAGACATCGGAGTCGCCTGACGTTTTTTTTACAATCATGTATGTACTATGACTTCTCTTTTACTTTGTGCAATTGTGTTCTTATTTATATACAATGATGTTTCTTTGACTGACGATAAATGCTGGGCAAACTTTTGATCGCTAACTAGTCCCTTTATTACCAAGGGGTCCCTTCAACAATTTCCTCGGCAATCTGAGGGACCCCTGCCTGAATAAATATTTTACAAACTAACAACTTGTAGGAAAATAAACACACATCTTGACTTGGCTTCCCGAAAACATTGTTTTAAGTGTCTGCATAAAAAACATGTCTCAAAAATCTTTACAGAGAAAAAAGTTTTTTTCGGTGTGATTCCAAAACATACCATAGTTCTATTTCAGGGTCGACACCTCAAAATTGAAGCATGTTTCGAAACTTGCAACAAAAATATTGTGCTGTGAACTTGCTTGTTTTTGGAGGAAAACTTAATATGCGACACAAATGTTGAGTTCCATAGACTAAGCACTTAAAAAAAAAAAACTCTCAGCCCTTCCACTCTGGTGAAGAAGGAAGACCAGCGAAGCTGTACTATGGCAGGCCGACCTCAAGGACAACTTCTTGAACGACCTCAAGGACGACGCCTAACGGACAACCACAGGCACGATGTCTAGGATGACCTCAAGGACCAACTTTTAGGAGAACCTAGAGGACAACGTCTAGGACGACCTCAAGGACGACCTTGAGGACGTCTAGGACGACCTCGAGAACAATTTCTAGGACGACCTCAGGGCCGACTTCTAGGACGACCTTGAGGATGACTTCTAGGACAACACCTAGAGAAGTTCAGCCTTTCCACTCCGGTGAATCCACTCTGGTGAAAACCAGAGCAGAAAGGCTGGAAAGATTGCCGCCACCTATAAGCGACGGCGGCAACAAGACAACCAGCAAGCCGACTGTTGCTGACACTTGTAGATGGCGGTAGCTGTCCAGAGTTTTGCGTCGACATTTATTTGGTGACGGACACAAAACTAGGAAAACTAGCCCTTGACAGCTCTGCTGTAAAAAAACATTTGATTTCTTTCTGAAATGTAGCTCTTTCTTTAATAAAGAGATCACGAAACAAATTGTTCTGCACTGAGTAACCAGTGCAATAAACTCTGTGTGTTCCGAAAGTGCTTGCTCGTAACTGCTAGTAGTTTCGTGAATCCGCAATTAAAGGAAATAATGACGACTCTACTACCACACAAAGTGTCCAGGAAAAAGATGAGCCGTACCCGAACGCCGGATTCTCCAGGGAGAGCCTGAGGCACTGCGACCACAATGCCAGGGACAGCGCTCTCACTGTGGTGCCGCCGGCAGACTGGCCCAGCGCATAGTGCTGGGACACTGACAAGCATTCCCGGACGAGCGTCGGATTCGGCACGTCCTGCTTCTGGAGCAGCGATTCCAACAGCTCCACGGTGTCCGCCAGGTGCGTGCGGTGGTGCGCCCCGCTCTTGGCATAAGCTACGAGCTCAGTCTACGGCCGGAAAGACAGAAATCAAGATACGCACGCCACAGAGAGAGGAAGGAGTGAAATTAGATGATACCAAAAGGTACAGTATCGATAAACGGTAGACGAAAACGAAAAAAGACATGTTAAAACAGCAGCAGGCAGAATTTTTCTAGAGAAATAGAAGTATAAACCATGTGTTAACATGTGGAAAGTGTTTGTAAAAGGAATAACATAATTTAAGAATGATTTCACTGTCACGGGATATATCCCAAATATTTCGTGAACCTACGCTGGATGGATGGATGGATAATGATGGCTGTACCCTTTATAACGGGCGGCAGCTTGCGCCACCTAGCCTAGAAATTAAAAACTAAAAGTATGATTCCTCTTTTTGCCCTTCTAAGCCAATTTGCTTTCCCTCTGTAATTTTACAACTATCGTCAGACAGTGTGGGATATCACCAGGATGATTTTTGGGGGGTCGAGCGAAATAAAACTGAAAACATAACCCCCCCGCCTCCCTGGCAAGGGTGTTCCCAATTTTCCTCTGGTCAAATTCAGTCGGCAATACCCCATCACTGGGCACACTGGGAGACAGGGTTAAGACTTTAGGATGGAACCACGCGGGAGGGAGTCCAATCTGTCCCCAGCTGTGTTACTTGTACGTCGTTCAATTCTCCCTAGATAATTCCCACCAGTTTTCCAATCTTCTGTTTGCTATTAAAATGTACTTATCATCCACTCTTCTGTTCTCATCTGCAAGCAAAAGTGGCGTGCACAGTGTTGCCAACTAAGAAATCAAAAAAACCCTCAAAGGAATTCCGGAATACCGCTAACTTTAAGGTGCAGGCCAGGAATGACTGTTTTAACACAATGTTTGAATGTTCTCCGTTATAATATTTCAATGGCGTTGCGAGCGTTATCCTTACTGAAAACCATTTTGCTGAGCAAGCCAAAATAATTAGCACTCCGTGATTCTAACTCGCAACGAACATTTCGCTATTTATGATTGATACATGTAAACTGAACAACAGTTCCGACTGCAAGAAAACACGCTAACATGACGCGAAAACCACTAAAAATACCGCCAAGTGCAAAACGGCAATTTCTCCCGCTAGACAATTCAGAAAACCACGAAATTTAGCGAAAAAACGCTAAATTGGCAACACTGGGTGTGCATTAGCTGAAAATACAAATAAACCACACTACAGTTGGTGACAATTAAAAAGTTCAGGGGAAGCTCCTTTCACTTTAGCAGAGCAGGAGCTGCTAAAGTGGAAAGAGGTGGTCTTAACCTTTCACCGACTATACCGTAATAATCCCGAGAGATGCCCCACCCCCGAAAGATAACCCACCCTTATTTTTGGTTTGATTTGCTATATTTTTTAAACACTGAAAGCTAGCCCACTCTTTGTACTAGTAGTGTTGGGATCAATGATGGCCTTGGCTTAAATGTGCCTAGTTCGCTATGGCGGGATATAAGCAAGCATTGCTGACTTGGAACTAGAGTCATCTTTGCTTCGTTGCCCCTTGCCACCTAACAAGCTTGGAAGGGACACTACCTAAAAAACTACTTTTTATAACTTTTCTTTATTGTACACTGAAAGTTAGCCCACTCCATATTTTCAGCCGGTTTGCTTTTGATGTTAGGTGGGCTCTCTCTCAGGATTTTACGGTAGGCTTGTCTGTATCCTCGTGTTCTAAAAGTGACTGCTGCAGCCTCTATTTTTGTGTTAGTACAGTGTTGGCATTCACGAGCTGTGCTGTTAACCAGGCACTATAAACAAATTCAAAATACTACCATAGTACTCGTTTTCACCTAAAATAAAAGAAAAAAGCTTCTGCGCGTTGCTTATACGTTACGCAAAGTAGTTCTTGCAAGATTTGGTTGTCAAAGGGAGCAGGGATGCTTCTGCCGTTTGAAACCTGTATGTCTTGATAAGATAATGTGTATCTAATCTAAAATGCACCTATATATATTTTAATTCTCCACCTAAAGGGGGATATTAGTAATGCTTTGCAAGGAGCCAGACTTGTTTTACTACAATTCATTGGGGTGAAAACGAGTATAGTAAAGTGACTCTACCAAAACATTTGCAGCCCCGTTCATTTCGGTTATTCCGATCTTCAAGAGATATTTCTGTCTTGCACCGAGCACTTCCATCATTTAAGGATCTCGGGGTACGACAAGTTCCGGGAGTCTTATCATTGCTCCCCAGTCAATCGGAGCACAGCATTGGCCGATTAGAACGTCGTAGAACCAATCGCGAAGCAAGGAGCGTGAACATAATAGGCCACGCTCTGCATTTCCTAAGTTCTCGGTGACTACCAGAAGACCACAGAAATGAGCTCCTGCAACTTACCGCCAGCTGCCGCCAAACGCCGACGGAAAACATGGAGTCTGTACGGCAGGCGTCCCCGAGGGATTCTAGCAGCGCTTCCATCACGTGACTCTCTGCCTTGGCGACCCTCATGAGAGATGTGACCACGGGAGTCAGATCGGGCGAGCGGTGACGCGTCGCCGTGCTCAGCAGCCAGGCGGCCTGCCGCTTTCTCAAGAGCTCGTGGCCGGGCTGGGAGCAATTTGCATTGTCTCAATGGGTCTGGCCGTGTTTGCCGAAAACAAGCGCTACATATTCGATAGAGATTCGTACAAAATGAGCCTGTTGTACATGTGTTGACGAATAAGTAAAGAGAATGTTGGCATTAAAGGATGAATGTAATAATGAAAGCTTTCTGTAAAGTGCTTGTTTCCTTTTGTTGTTCGTTGTACATGTATTCCCGTGATCCGACAGAGGCCTATCGCGGGGAGGGCGCCGTGAAACCGAGATTTTGACTGTGCGTTCGAAGATCTCCAGCTGGTTTAAATTAATCCTCGGTCCTTTGCTGGAATGTACCAAATGCCTTCTGTGTGATTGGCACATTTGACCCCCCAAATTTGATTAATGACAGCTCCCAATCTATTCTGCCTCCAGCAAGCCCGACCCTGACTATGTGGATTATCCGCTGCCCAGAGGTAATCCTTCTTTTTCGTGTTTCAACAAGAAAAATGACTGCTTGAGAAAGAAAAAATAAATGCGAACCACATGAAACAGTTTAAAGTGTTTGTAAACAAAAAACAATGTAAAGGGGTTACTTAAAAAAAATCTGTTTCACGGTGAATACGATGGTAAACCCCGAGACTGAGGTGTAAAGAAGTAAAATCGGAAACGGGTATAAAAGGCATAAATGCGTATGCCAAAATTCACAGGGTCTCTTATCTTATTCCCGAGACGACTTGAAGGCGAAAGCCCAAGCGCCGATGTAAACGTGATAGTGAACCTCCGAAGACAACGCGCTCTATGATGAGACACTTTTGGCGCCGTTTCATTGGTACCTTCCGTGCCACCAACGTGTTTTCGCCCAAGGACTTTAAAGGCTGATTGACCTTTAAAATCCTAGCTGAGGTTGAGATGCTGTCTGTCCCCCTTTCTCTGTCTGCCTCTCTTACTCTTTCCCTCTCCAGACTCGGTGTTTAGCACAATGTTCAATATATACCAGCTTGCTTGTGGTTCCTTCAAGGGACCCTAAAAAAGATAAAAACGAAAACTCAAACCTTTCCTACTTCAAAAAGCTCTCACCCTGCTATGACCCGGGGCAGAAGTGCCGCCGGCAGCAAAGCCTTCCAATTTCTTCAGCAATGCCTCGCAGAGGTCTGACTTCCAGGCGTGGTTGGGGTCTGGATACAGCAGACTCAGCGTGTCCAGTAGCTCCATCTGTACGAAGCAGTTCCGTGACGCCAGCACCCACCAGTTCAGCACGGCGTCGTCTGCGAAGCAGTCGACCACCGCTGGAATGCTAAAATAGAGGGGGGAAAAGTTTCCATTGGTGGTTAGGGAAACTGGAGTATTGTTATAGGGTTCTCTGTTTTCAGGTTTGATACTTCAAAACATTGAGGAGAATAAATTTCTAAAAACGAGATAGCATTTCTTTTTCCCGTTCTTGTCGATTTAAACATTTTGGACTGTTTGTGCTGAATATTTTGCTTCAAATGTAGGAACAACTGAAAGAACCAAAATTTGTAAGGTAAGTTTGCAGGCTAGATTTATTTCGGCAGGTGTTTCTTGTTGAAATTACTCAGTTCCTTTCGCAGTTCCATGGAGTAGAGACATTACAGCTCGCCATTTAGCAAAAGAGGTGTAAAAATAAGACTTGGGAGGAGAGACGTTTTTTGTGCTAGAAAAGAAATTGTGTTTATAACCCAACTAAGGAGTCCTCAAATATAGACGCCTTGCAGCGGCCATGCATGGGCACCACCATAAGCGACCTTCAGTTTTTGTTTCCTCTTATTCCGTTCACTTTACTTCATCGTCACCAAAGCAGGACACATTACTGCCTTTTTAGATTCTACTGTGTCCTTCTTTCCAGCATAGACCTTTGCAGAGGCTCGTAACGCCGGCTTCCGTGGCTCGGCATCTCGGCAAGATGACAGAAGGTCGGCAATGGCGCCCGTTATCTGGTGCATGTGCAAAGTGTCTATGGCTTGTGTTTCTTTTAATGACAATGAAAGGTTCAGCTTGTAGTGGTGAATATCTGGTGAAGTTCCCAAAATGCCTGACGAGCAGGACACTAACAACGACAAAAGAGTCTCGAAACCAGACGAGAAATGCGGTTACCAGTTCGGGTCCACTCTCAGAAGGACGTTGGCGGCACGTAGCCGAGCTTGCAGCTCGTTGTACGAAGTCGTCTCGCCAGAACTGGCCAGGGCCGACAGAGCCGACAGCACCTCGTCCTGTGGCGAATGGCAGAGGGAAGCGAGGCACCTGGCCGCGAGGAGACGCAACTTCCACGAACGGCTCTTGAGTTGCGTCCTCACGACTGCCACAAAAGGTTCCAGTTTCTCCCTGCAAAGTGAGAGGGGCTCGTTCGATGCAATGCACACCTACAAACACTTGAAACTCGCTTCATGACGCTTGTGCCACTTCTTACTCCGTGTATCGGGAACGACGTATAGCAGTCGCTGCGAGCAATGGAAGGATCCACATTAGTCTGTCGCCTTCTAACTTAAGTCTCGCACTGGCATGACGTGAGACAGAATGGACGACTTCCTTTCTAGATACCAAAGCCGTAGTGCTGGACTTTTGGACCGTCAACTACCTAAGGCCAACATAGAGCACAGATTAGGCAAGAGTGCTCCGTTCAGCTGGGACTCAATTTCAATCGGTGAGGTCACGAGTACCAGCGGAATGCTAACAAATCACTCATGTCCAAGGTTTAGAATGCTAAAGTTATACGCAGTCTCGCGTCACCAACTATGACAAGCATTGCATGCCAAGTTTGAAAAGTAGTGTAGTAGTAGTACCTCCCGCCTGCACTTTTCTGAAAGACTGCTTTCTAGCACTAGCTGCTTAGCATTCAGGTTTGTTGGCATTTAGTTCTTTGCCATGTATCCTTTTGGGTATACCGTATTTACTTGCATATTTATGAACACTCTTTCTTTCCCCAAAAAATTGACTCATATTCATACCTGCCAAATTTCCTGTATTACCCGGGAGAATACCGAATTTTGACCAATTTTTATATTTGTATAATTGACACAAAAATCTACTAAAAAACACAAATTACAGTCCCCTCCCCCCACCCCACCCCACCCCCTCCCTCGCTGCACTTAAATAAAGAGTTTCTGCCGTCGTAACAAATGGCGGCAATAATAGTGAGGCCCAGCTGTTTCTCGCTAGCATGAGCAGTGCAATATAAATGTAATAAAGTTGTCTGCATGTCTCTACTTCCCCTTCCCTTCCCTTCCTTACCCTTCCCCCTCCCCTCCCTCCCTCCTCCTCCTCCTCCTCCTCCTCCTCCTCCCCCTCCCTCCCCTCCTTCCTCCCTCCCTCCCTCCCTCCCTCCCTCCCTCCCTCCCTCCCTCCCTTCCCTTCCCTTCCCTTCCCTTCCCTTCCCTTCCCTTCCCTTCCCCCCCCCCCCCCCCCCCCCCCCCCCCGCTTAGAAATTCTTCTGGATTTGGCTTCTCAGACCTTGGCAGGTATGCATATTTGGGGGGTGCATTCATTATGTGGGTTAAAATATTGTGCATTTACACGTTTTGCATAAGTGTCATTTTTGGTGCACTTCTCCACTGGCGGAGGAACGTCTCCACTGATGGAAGGCACATCTCTATTGATGAAGGCGCACCCATGGCTCGTCATGGGCACTAGGTTAAATAATAATAATGTTGTGTGTATGCTCATACAGCCAGAAGTTAGTCTGCCTCAGTGGGCGTCTGGCGTCTCAGGTGTAAATGAGACATTTAGCCAGTGCAGTACAACTGCTAGGCTGGGGTCTTCAATGTGCATCACACAGTATTGATACACGACCGCACGCCGGCGCGATGCTCACCCTGATCCAAACAAGCAGGGGTAGGGATTGATGGCCTGTAGCTGAGCCGGTTGGTTATCCCTACTTACTGATTACCAGCTGAACGTAATGAAAAGCGACGAAGAGAGAAAGAAACAAACTGCTGGACTATCAACCCTTTTAATAAACTTCCTTCTCCTCAACCCAATCCTTAACGGGTAGCTTCATCTTCTTCAGTAAGAGCTTAGACATAAACTTCCTTTTTTTCCCCTCACGAACCGTGGAGTTCTCCCCTTCTTCGACTTTCCCCATCTTAAAAAGGTAGCTTCTTCTTCAGTAAGAGCTTAGACAGATCCGTGGAGTTTTTCTCTTCTTGGACTTTCGGATCTTGAAAAACTTCCTTCTTTTTGTCTTTTATACTTCCGGTGGTGTCACCCTCGTTTTACTCGGTCGGATCTTGGAGTCACTAGGTCCCAACTTGGTTCATCTGAGGTGCCGCTCTCCTCAGATACATTTTTTCTTTGGGCAAGAGCGCAATGGAGGCAACACTTACGCATTCTCCCTCCCCCTCCTCAATGGCTAACGCCTCAAGGAGCTCCCTTCCAAGCTGCTTTCGGTGTTTTGCTAAGACGGTAACGCTTGTGAAATCAGGAGCACATTTGCAGGCCCGACAATGTGCCGAAAGGTGGCCCGCCGACGTTAGTGCGGTCACAGAGGCTGCATGTTCTCTGGTGCGGTCGTTGATGCACCTCCCTGTTTGTCCTATGTAGCTTTTGCCACATGACATAGGGATCTTGTAAACAACTCCTTTTTCGCATGGGGCGTAGGGTGTTCGATGCGCAGTGCCGCAAGTCGTCGTCCCGTTCTGGGCGGTTTTCCGGTTCACCCTACGGCACATGGCGTACGCCTTGTTGGGGGCGGAGCACACAACGTGGATGCCTTGTCGGCCGGCGATCTTTTTTAACCTATGGGTAATGCCGTGAACATATGGGTGCTTAGACGTGGTCATGCGTAGCTTCGAACATAGCTGCCACGGATTGGCTTTTACCCATGAACTTCCCGTCAACAATTCCATACGGTTTTTAGACCTCTCATTAGAGTTTCAGCCTTCCCACGTGTGCTAGAGTTATGAACCCCGTTCATGTAGGGGATTCCTTCCGTTTACCTCGGAGCATTCCAAAAACGTAAAACGAGGGCTGGCCACCAAAGCTTTAGTCTCGGCGCTACAGAAGTCCTGCCCTCATAAGGTGCGGAGCTGCTTTCAAGAACAGCTGCGTCGACTCCAGGATTCTGGGTACTCGAGTACCCTCCTCGTACCGGTATGCGAAAAGCTTTGTAGGCAGGTGCGACAAAATCCTGAGAAGAATCAACCAACGCAAAAGAAGCCCCCAAAGCCTTTTGCAGTGGTCCCATATGTTCACGGCATTACCCATAGGTTAAAAAAGATCGCCGGCCGACAAGGCATCCACGTTGTGTGCTCCGCCCCCAACAAGGCGTACGCCATGTGCCGTAGGGTGAACCGGAAAACCGCCCAGAACGGGACGACGACCTGCGGCACTGCGCATCGAACACCCTACGCCCCATGCGAAAAAGGAGTTGTTTACAAGATCCCTATGTCACGTGGCAAAAGCTACATAGGACAAACATTGAGGTGCATCAACGACCGCACCAGAGAACATGCAGCCTCTGTGACCGCACTAACGTCGGCGGGCCACCTTTCGGCACATTGTCGGGTCTGCAAATGTGCTCCTGATTTCACAAGCGTTACCGTCTTAGCAAAACACCGAAAGCAGCTTGGAAGGGAGCTCCTTGAGGCGTTGGCCATTGACGAGGGGGAGGGAGAATGCGTGAGTGTTGCCTCCATTGCGCTCTTGCCCAAAGAAAAAATGTATCTGAGGAGAGCGGCACCTCGGATGAACCAAGTTGGGACCTAGTGACTCCGAGATCCGACCGAGTAAAACGAGGGTGACACCACCGGAAGTATAAAAGACAAAAAGAAGGAAGTTTTTCAAGATCCGAAAGTCCAAGAAGAGAAAAACTCCACGGATCTGTCTAAGCTCTTACTGAAGAAGAAGCTACCTTTTTAAGATGGGGAAAGTCGAAGAAGGGGAGAACTCCACGGTTCGTGAGGGGAAAAAAAGGAAGTTTACGTCTAAGCTCTTACAGAAGAAGATGAAGCTACCCGTTAAGGATTGGGTTGAGGAGAAGGAAGTTTATTAAAAGGGTTGATAGTCCAGCAGTTTGTTTCTTTCTCTCTTCGTCGCTTTTCATTACGTTCAGCTGGTAATCAGTAAGTAGGGATTGAACCCAGGGTCCCTGGGTTCTGCAGCGCAAACTTTTGCTCCACATACTCAAAGCTGGCGTGTGCTAGCCCACTCGACCACCGATCTCCCTTCCATTGCGGAGCCAAAAAGTAAGACGCGCGGGAAAAAGAAAATTCAAATTTTGATGACCGCTGTGGAGGGTGCGTTCACTGTGTGAGTAAATACGGTACATCTTATTCCTTGCAGAGCATCAAACGGAAAGAGCATAAACCTAGCTGCCTCCAAAGAATTTGAGTCACTTATTGCATGGCCACAGATTCAATATTCAATTCAGTGCTCAAGAGCCAAGCTTTCTGGCACTATTAATGACAGAAACGTTTAACGTCTCTACAACCCCGGTAAGATTTTAGGGATAGAATCACTTCCTCACCGCGTAGACGAAGTGTAGATGTCACACTTGTCCATATCGAAGAGGACAGTTCTGGAAATAAAACGGTCGTTGAGTGAAAACTTCCGAGGTACCTAAAAGGTAAAAAGTGGCCAAGCATAGAAATGATTAATGGGCTGCGTGCAACACAGGTCCTTGCTCTAAAACAGGGCTTAAAAAAATACCGTATTTTCTGGTGTGTAGTCCGCAGACTATCTACAGGTGAGGACTATAAAGGGATTTTTTTTTTTTTATGAATCATTCACTGTGACAAGACATAAAGGATTTTATGAATAACGGAGTATTTTGATGTTGATTTATGTATTGTACAAACTTCTTTGAGAGCTAATACAGCAGGTATTTGTCAAGGTATGCCATGTATAATAATCTTTATGTTTACACTAGGCACTAAATGTAGACTATGCACGGCGTGCAGACCATGCACCAGGTGCGGACTATGAGTAAATTTTCTTAATTTTTTTTATTCTAAATTAATCTTTGCGGACTACGCATTGGGTGCGAATCCGAAAAATATGGTACACCATTGATTTCATGTGTACAAGCAAAGAACTTGTATATATTATTTGTACACAACATTGTGGAAACAAATATATCTGGAATGTTGGAACTTTCTAGGAGGTTGCAACGTTCCAGTGTTCATAATAATACTTGAACTTGACAAGAAATACCAGTTCTGTGGCTTTCCATTCGACATATCACCCAAGCTTGCTTTTTATTGTTTCTTCAAAGTGTTACTGCAGGAGTAGGTTGAAGCAAGCCCAAGTAAAATTTGTAACAGGGCTGTTTCCTCAAATGGACCACTTCAGCCAAGAACAAGTACTTTTCTATTTCATTTAACAATGATTTGATTCAAAATCCAGGATACTTGACAGAGCTATGCTTGAAATATGAAATATCTATAGAAATTGCGTCAAAATAAAAGTAAATAGCATACCTCCTCCTGATGCGTTCGACAGAAAAAATGCCACTTTTTCGTTCCTTTTTTGTCGCAAGTTTTTTCTACCGTTCATACCGTTAAATACCGAGCAAGCGCCCACTCAAAATTTGAAGATAATCGTGAAAAAATGGGGGATGGGCGCATATGAGGTCATCAATTTTACATATATATGTACTGCACATATTTTTTCAGATGTTTGAAACTTTGGGGGTGGGCACTTGGTACGGACTGAGCGGATGCACGGTATTCTACGGTATGATGTACGTAGAACAGATAAAGCATAATATGGTTATGTATTTCATTTTTCTACATTTTAAAACCGATAGAGTGATGAGAGCGACGAGAGAATAATTAATTCAGTGGGATTTCAGCTTTGAACGGCGATTTTGGGAGGAAACCTCCGCTATCTTCATTCTCAGCTTTGGGAATTGTGAATACGGTTGTGCAAGCTTGCTTGGTATGTCCAGGCAGAGACAGGCATGCCGCTGACAGAAGTGACTTTTCAAGACTCGAAAACTGCTCCATCCCGTGTCTCGATCCTCGACATTCAAGAGCACGAAAATTCATTTTCTGCTACTCTCTAGCATATTCCTTAAAGTACTTAATCCTTGAGGTATTCCTTGGGGTGCTTAATTAGTTCGGCACTAGTCTATTTAGCCAGTCAGTGTTGCGACGAGCAGCTTCGCGACACGTGATCGTGATGCTACCAGACAAGAATTCGGAAAACAAAACAAACGTCTGCTGACGGGGGGTGTTTTCTAGTATGCACTGCCATCTCAAGTGGGGACAGGTTCATCGGATCTTCCTACGAAAAATGCTGACCTGTCGTTCTGGTCGTGGCTCGCCGGTCGGAGGCGCGAGAGAAAGTCCAAAATGAAGAAAAGCTGCTCGCTGTCTCCCCGTGGACGTTCGCCGAAACCACTCAGGGCGGCCATCACGCAAGGAAACTGCGTGAACACCTTCATAGGGGTGAGGGTGTCGTGACCCGCAAATTCCTCTCTTGTCCTCTTTTGTCCAAGCATCCTCGGCGCCACCGTACCTGCCAACGGTCAAGAGGGACAAGAAAAAAAGAGACACGCAAAAAGCCGTTTTTTTTAGAGCACAACATTCACGAACCGGGTTTCTAGGAACGCAGGGGTTCTCCAGAGTACCCGTGCGAGTTCCTTGAGCACCCAAACTTTCTCGACCGTCCCTGCCACAATGTAAAGTGTTTCCAGTTCGAGCACCGTTTCAGCAGATTTAAGATACCCATTGATGCATAACTCTGTACATTACTCTTTAAAAAGTCCGTAGGCTCCTGAACTTCTTTACTGCATTGACGCCCAATATTCTTAGGACTCCCAGTTGATGAGCTCCAAAAAGAGTGTCGTTTGAAGACAGTCCTTCTCTGTTGCCTGCACAAGAGTATGTATGGGCGGATAGCGATCCTAGCGCCACCAGTAGCACCGCTCCCACGGGCATTGGAGAAAAACCATTTTTGAACGACGCTCTTTTTGTACAAAATTTTGCACAGCTTCCAACAATAAAATCATAATAGAATCACTTTCCACAGCAGGCAATATGCACTGGTTCCGCCGCTTCTGTCCGATAGCACAGCGAACGCCAACGGGCGGACGCACCACCACAAGGCGCTAGGCGTTCTAAGATGCTTGTCAACTGACTTCGATCTGGCAACGCACCCGCCGCTGCGTTCACGGTCCTTGGCCGTCAGTCAAGAGAGACGGGAGTTTCTCGAGGTAAAAAAGCTTTGCTCCGAAACACAGGTTCTCAAACTCGGTTCTTAGGAGCCCCTGGGCTCCTGGAACCTAATCGGAGGTGCATGGCGCCACATCATCACTCACCGTAGAGTTGGTAGGCCGCATTTTTAACAACCCAGACGGAGGAGTCGAGGCCCTCGAGGCAGGCCTCGAACACTGCATTGTGGTGCACCCGCATGGCCTCCCCCAATGGGGAGGAGCCTGCCAGGGCACACAGAAGGTGCAGCTTCTCAGCCGCGGGTACGTCCAGGTTGTTATCCGGGGTCAGGTGGCCGGTCCGGGCGGGAAAGAGTCGCGTCACAGACAACACTGCTCTGCGTAGGCTTGACTGCGGGGCGGGGGCAGGGGGGAAGAAAGAGAGGGAGAAGTCATTCTTAGGTTAATAGAAAGGAAAGCTGGTTGAGCTACAGAGTTCTTCTTCGTAAGACTTAAAGTCTCTCGAGCACCTTGTCAATGGTAGCTTCCCTACCTTCCCCCTTACTGAAGAACAAGGAATAGAGAGAATTCAGGCTGCAGAGTATGTACGTACCAATGCAATGGAACAAGCTATGCTCTGTTTCTGCATATTGCTTGGCACAAGCAAATGCTACGGTCTCTTCATGTCAATTAGAGCAACGAAGCAAAGCACGTGACAGCTCTTGGCGAGAGTAGTGCGCTGCGCCGGTACGTTGTCGCGTGGTCCGCTTTGACGTTCCGACTTATTCACTGGAGTTATAGGTTTTTTCATTCGCCAAGTTATAATGAAACAAAGTATAGAACTGGGTGGCTGCATGTGTGATTTTAGCCATTAAAAAGACAGCTTTTTTCTATTCTCTGGTTCCAACGTGAATGCGCAGATCTTGGACGGATGCAATAAAATCCCTTTTCACCTGTGCGTCCTTTCTGTCCCCTTCAATCAGTGCCTTGACGAGAAGGGGAAGTCCGGCGGACCGCCGAGTGAGTGAGGATCGGCTCTTTTTCTCCGACCAGTGTTTAAGGGCCTGGTGCAAAAAAATAACAAAAACAAAACAGCAGATTTGAACTTTGCATGGCACTCCATGCAGTGATTAAAGGTTTCTTTATATATCACGAGAGAAGACCCATGGTAGACAGTTACATACTTGTTAGTTAACACATCCGCATAATTAATGCGAATGACCGACCAACCGGAACACAAAGGTAAAGATAACAGCTCCAAAAATGTCCATGAAAAAAAAATTTTTTTTTCTCAAAGTTTGTTGTTTTTAAGCAAAGGGACATAAAAAATGTATGCCTCATTGACCCAAGCCAAGTAAAGGCAGTGGACTGCAGAATGTATTTGTGTTTGGAATTGGTTCCTAAATTAGCACAGTTGTAAAATTGAATTGGTGCATAATTATGCACTACGGCATATCAATCTGCAAAAAATATTACGGCAGAATTGTCTCGCGTGGAAAGGGTCGAAGGTCATGCGTAACACATTGCTGTGTAATGCTTCATGAAAACGTGCCAAGTCTAGGACATGAAAGCATTCTGCTTTAAAAGGTACTTCCCTGACAGTGAGTAATCTGAAAACCCACGAGCAATTTACCCATTGTACTTAAATCTGACCCCACTAATGCAATTAAGAAGGGGACTGATGACACATACCTCACTCAAGACGGCCAAAGGCATTTCAGCTGTGCTGGCGTCATCGCAGGAGGACACGAGCTGGCAGAAGCGTCGCAAGGACTCAGCACAGCTCTCTATCGCACCCTGAATAAATCAATCAATTAATCAGTCAGCTTGTTTGCGTCCGCACAAAATAGCACGAGTCAGTCCGTCGAACGAGACGTAACCCGCGCACGATCTGCAATCACCACTTTGAATGTATGGCGGTGCCATCCAGTTGAAAGTTTCTGAAGCGGCAAAAATTTCCATATTGGCAGCAAAAAGAGAAGTGACCTGGTGGCTAAAGCATGAAACAAAAAAGTGGGGCTCGAAGAGAGTTTTTTTTTTTTTTTTTATTACAAACAGAAAGAAAACTTTTCTATGACAAAACAATATTAAAATCAGATAGTCCCTCTAGTGTCGGCATATTTGCCATCCAGTGGTGTGTGAACACCTCTGCCAGCGTTACAAAATACTGACAGAGTAAAGACTTTTTTTCTTTTTAGTTCAAGCTGACCACTATGAAGTGAACCTCATCCAAAATATTATTGAACCTCATCCAAAATATTATTGCAGCAAGAAAAACAGAGGCCAGATTCACGAAACGATCTTACGCCAAAAATGTGCGTAAGACAAAACTTAAAGGGGTCATGAAACGCTTTTCCAACTTTTTCCTGTTTAGCTTTCCTCCTCAACTCATAAATCGCGCATTCCACCAAACAGTTAAAGAAGACGAAAAGAAGGGAGGCCCCTCTCGCTCGGAATCTGGTTTGTCTACCCGGACATAGCCATTGTCCCCCTTGAAGATTAGCCCGTCGCTCAAAATTCAGACAAAAGTTACTTTCCCCACCCCGTTCATTCCGAAGCTGACAGTGCTGTTGAAGCTACGTGCTCGTTGGGCCAGCCACACTTGCCACGTGAGCGTGGCAAATGTGGCTGCAGAGAATGAAGTCAGGTGATGAAAGAGAGGCGGCTGATTGGTCCGGCAAGCGCGTAGCTTCCACCAAAATGTCAGCTTAGGGGTGAAGGGAATAAGTGAGGTCCGGTTGCGTGTGACGTCAGTTTGGACCCGATGACGCGCTTTTGGGACCGCGGATGTATCACAGTAAAAAGGCAGAGAGGTTGCGAAGGGGAGGAGGTACGAAATAGTCCGCTCTGTTTTCAAATTTTCGCGCTGAAAGTCAGGCTTTTGACTTTCTACTTTCTTTCTTTTGGTCCACTGAACGATGTGCTATTAGTAAAATCCCAATCTAAACTGATTTATCCCAACCCAAAAATCGTTTCATGGGCCCTTTAAGAACAAATCCGTATTCACGAAACGAAATCTTCGTAAGTATTGCGCAGGTTACGACGAAATCCTACGACAGCTCCGAAGCTGTCTTGCGCACTTCTTACGATCAAATCAGCATGGCCGACAGCGTCGCTCAGTTGGTCGCGGCAACCAACGGATGTTTATTTTTCCACCTGCGCTTCTCACACGTCCCGACTTCAAGCAGCAAGAAACAAGTAAAAAGTACTTGAAACAGACCACGACGAATGAACAAGAACGCTGGATCCACGGACACCCGGGAAAAACTTCAAGGGCCACGAGTACGGACTCCGACCGATCGACAGATAGGCCTAGCAGGCACTCCGACTAGGCGCAGCGATGATCTGACGGTCCTTGGCGAAGACCGTCTGCCCACGACCGGCTGGCGTGCTGAATGGAATATGCCCGCACGACCCTTGTGAACTCTTCCCGTATTATAGTTTGATCGCTGATCTCAATTCTAGATTAAGAGGTCAATCTCTTCCTCTTGCCATCCCCTTGTTTTCCGAGGCAACGGTGACGAACGCTGTCGTCGAAAAGGGGCTCTCATCGATTCTATCTCTGTTTTGTGTGATATCAAGCTCAAATAAACGCCGTATGGATTACCTTTGCAACATGGTATGTACACTTTGTTATTAGCATTCCATTTTATTCTGACACGACTGCACCTCACTGTCGATCGCTGTAACAGTTCGTGGGTCGCAATGCCGGTCCAACCTTTCTTCGCCGGGTGTCACGTCAGCATCGAGTTGCAATTGTAAAGGATCGGTCCCGAAGCGTTTATCAATTCGCGGTCCAACAGCGCAAATCCAGCATTTCGATGAAACGCGCGCGTCCGCTCCGTAGTGTGAACAGGCATTTACGTGGCTCTTCCTGACACTGTCGTAGTTCAAACGTATCTTTTTTTAACGTCGGCTCGCTCCTGCATTTCCGAGGCCGCAAAAAACGCCCCGGCAATTTCTTCCCATCTACGTCGCTTTGCGAATGACTGCGGGCCGTCTTTTACCAACGATGACAGTTGTGTTTACTTGGTAGCGATCGAGTTCGTAGCAGTCAATGGGGGTGGTTACGCATCCCGGCCTCGGCATTCGGGCGAGTTTAAATCGTGTTAGCGTCGACATATCACTGCACGGATACGAACCCCAGACAAGCGGTGGCAGAAAGGCCGCCTGTGTTTGTTATGAAAAATCCACGTGCTCCGAACGGCTCCGAACAAATGCCGAGCTCTCCGATTGGTTGTTCGTGCTGCAGAAGACGCCGTCGCCATAGCAACAGCACCGGTAAGTTTTAGTTTTTCCGTACGACAACGTCGCTTTCCTCCTTTCACTTAAGAATGCGTTCGTGAATACCGATTTCTCCTCTTCTTACGATGTTCTTAACTTACGAACTTCTTAGCTAAGTTGTCATAAACTAAGAAGCTCTTCGTGAATCTGGCCTCTGATCCTTTTTTGAAGATAAATTTTTCTTAATACTACTAAAAAAAAAAATTTTTATTTTTTTTTTATTTGCATTTTTTACATTTTGTTTCACATTAAGTCTGACCGCAGCCAGCACTACCATCTGACGGAGCCAATCACGCAGCACCAAAAGTGCATCGTCATGGCACTCATCATGCACCAAAAAAAACGCAGGATCACACAGCATTCACAACACGTCATTGGTTTAACCGGCAATAGTAATCACACGAAAACTATGAGTGCCAGGATGATACACGTTTGGTGCTGCTTGATTGGCCCCTTCGAGTCGTAATATTGGCTGCGGTCGGACTTAAGGACACTACCCAAAAAAGTAAATTTTTGAACCACTTGTCTGATTTAAATTAAATTTACAGGGGCTTGTTTCTGTTGATGTTGAGAACATTTCTGCCAAAGTTTGTTAAACTGGGTGAAGTACAAAAAAAAACTGCAAAGGTTCAAAGATGAAAGTGGGCGTGCCTGCGTAGGAAAACTATGGTTTTGAAATTACTTATAAATCTGTTGTTTTCATGTGTTATATTGCATTAGGACAGCTCAGAGCAGATAACTATGGAGTTATATTTTTAATTTATACCATCTTTTATGACCAAAAAGCCACATAAACACAAATACAGTTTTTTAGATTTCCATCTTTTGTGCAAAATTTTTGTTTCTGAGGACGAAAAATGACAAAATTAAAAAATACAAGCTCATAGTTATCTTCCCCTTAAAATTTCACCCCAAAAAAACTCATAAAAATGAATCCAAGTTATGCAATAACAAAACAATAGTTTTCCTAAAGTGAAATTTATGCCAGAAAGTGGAATGGAGAAAAATGCATTCAAAGTGCTCCAACCTCTACCTTTTCTTTAGCATCGGTACACCAAAATTAATTTATAAAAAAATAACTATGCAGTACACTCTAATGAAACTTTCTGGGATTACCCTCTCGATGTTGGTGGATGTAAATATAACATTTTTCAAAATGAACATTTTTTTTTTTGCAGGAAGTGTTTTTTCTGGGTAGTATAAACACCAGAACGTCAAATTCAAAGCAACACCGCAACGCCATTGCTTACAGTGAACTTCAACTAGCCCGACGGATACAATTGTCCGTTTGTAGACAAAGCAAAATAGGATCGTGCAAATATCCGAATCAGATGTTGTTCTATGTTCACTTTGAGATGAACTGTGATGGCCGTATTTTTCGAAGTGTAGAATGCGGCACGTCGGCCCCGTTGAGAGTGTTTCTTACATAACGCCGGCGTGCTGTGGGGAAGTAACACCTGCAGTACTCGCTTTTGCTGGTGTCGCTTCTCTGCGGTGCACCAATGCTCGGTAAGAAGCACGCTCGATGGAGCTAACTTGACGCAGTAAGCGCTTCGAAAGGTACAAATGTTGCACTCGTGTGTTTACGAGAAAAGCGCCCTTTGAAACTGAGATGGCGCGAGCGCGCCTAGTGTAAATAAATTTTACGGAAACTTTGTGACTGTTGATATCCACACTGCAGTAAAAAAATTTTTAATTTATCTGTGGCAACTATGCAAGAGCATATGTTAGGCAGAGATACCCTGACAACCTGCAGTAGCCATTCGTGGTTGTCTTTTTTTTAATGCGAAAGCATTAACTGTTTCAATAAGCGAGAGTTGGTGGTGCCTGTAACCGCAAAAAAAAAACGGCACCTAAAAACCCGTAACCGTGAAAAACGGCACCTAAATTGGCTGCGACGCGTCACATCAGATACTTTTTCACGGAAGCCGGTGCGGCCGCACGAAGTCAGGGCGGATGCGCCTCGGAAATAAAACACAAAGAAAAGCACAGCAATGCAGATGTCTCGACACGGAAGCCGGCGGGTGCGCTCAAAGTTAAAGCGGACACGCTTCAGAAATAAAGGGCTCGAGGTATACCTAAGCATTTCTTACGAGTTGTGAATGCAAAAGCATGCTTGTCGTTCTTCCGCTCCCTTATTTCGTCTGCGGCGTATTTGCACCGGCCGAGCGCGTGCTCTCCCAGCTCTCTTAACCGCTCTGACCTTGGACGCTTCGTGTTACCGGTGTGCTCGTGGTGCAGACACGCAGCGCCATGGGGTAGTGGTCCTTAAAACTGACCCGCAGCGGCCAATGGGAACCTCGTGCCTAGAAACTATGACGCGTGCCAGCCAATGGGATTGAAGCCGAAATTTATCGGCCTCACTCCACTCCTTTGGGATCGGGGGAACTAGGTGCTGTTTGGCTAGGCTTTTCGCATGGTTTCATAGCTGGGAGATAGCGGCTTCACTTGGAAAAACGAGTTTTGGTGCCGTTTGGTGCCACTTCAAAGCCGATGACGTCGGCTCGCTCCATGGGACAGTTAATGCTTTTGCATTAAAACACAAAGAAAAGCACAGCAACGCAATGCCTGTCACGAAAGCAGTCACAAAGCTGGCAAAGTTTGCCGCACCTGCGCAGTAAGAGAGCGTGATGTCACCGCTTCAGTGCCATGTGCGATAGGAAGACATGGCGCGCTGCTTGCAGGAATGCGCTGCATGTAGGAATGCTTTCGCATTCCTACACGTAAGCAATCTTAAATGTCTCTGCCAAATTTTTTTTTTTTTTATTTCACATTCGAGATTGAAGAAAGAATTGGATATATCAAGATTTAGAAATGTACTTGATTAGGTGCACCGAGGCATCTCTATAAGTTTATTTTTATGTCCAATGTGTCATTCACATGCCAGCTTAATGTAGGCACTGAACTTTCCGACATCCCAGTCAATAAATACAGTTAGATTAAAGTTAACATAGCATAGAAGTGGTCAAGTGGAAGCTTGAGAACAGCCTTCACGAGTTCAATTGGGTTTTTGTTTAAGCATGATGCAACATTAGTGAAAGGCTTGACAAAACTATTGAATATTTGATTTGAAAACGTTTAGCAGAAACCACTATTCGCTTCGAAGTAAAAATCCAATATATGCATATGCCTACAAAATCGCCTTTTGTGGCAATCTCGGCAAACGTCCGCATTACAAACGTGCCCCTTTATGAGATGAGACGGACTACATAAAGCCTCTCTGCTGATAAAACTAAGTACCATAATTTCCGGACTAAAGTCCGCACCGGATGCATGGTCCACACTAAGTGCCTAGTCCGAACAAAAAAGTACCATTCACAGCACACCTTGACAAATGCCTGCTGTATTAGCTCTGAAACAAGCTTGTATGATACATAAATCAACATTAATATACTCCGTTATTCATATAATCCTTCATGTCTCGTCACTGTAAACAACCCCCCCATCCCCCCCCCCCCCAAAAAAAAAAATCCTTGTAAAGATTGCATCTGTAGAAAGTCAGCATCGGGTAAAATTTCAACTTTTAAACCCGTTTAGTCCATAAACTATAGTCCGGAAAATACGGTAGTTTTTCCTACGTATGTTTACTATGTCTGGAAAACGTTAGGCCAACATAGAGAAGGACCCAAGCTTACGCGATGCCGGCACGCAGTCATGACGGAGACGAAAGTGTCCATGATGCCTTTCAGCGAGGAATAGTCCAGGGGGTAGCTGACCCCATTTGCTCCGAGCGAGATGCGAGCAACTTGCTCCAGCAGCAAGCAGCCATTCTGCAAAAACGGGAACAAAATAAAAGAACTAAAACAATGCGATTTCAAAAAAGAATCTGGCTACCAAAAGCTTCCTCCGCTATGTACATCCCCAAATTATCGACACATAAGCGGTGCAACGAACCTGGTGTAGCCACGAGTTAGAAGACAGAAGAAACAACACGAGAGCTACAATTTGTTGCTATCTTGATGGGAGAAAAAAACCTACGAGACATTTCATTTGTGCAATACCTCTTACACCCTTCTTAGTTTAGGAAGCAGTCACAAGGTTTTACAAGTTTTGTCAGCACTTGTTTGACATTATTAATATCATTGGTGACTGGGTGGTGGTAAATTTTAATACAACATTGTACATGACAATACATGATTTGATTACAATAACGAGGTTCTATATGGGCACGTTTGTATTCGGAGCATGCAGCAGCCTAAAGTGTAACTTCCAAAATCAGGCCAGTGCCTAGAGGAGCTTACTCCCACCGCCAAGGACTCAAACAGCTTTGGTATCTACTCGGTTAACACGGTTTGTAAAATAGCATTTGTGTGCCAGGTCTTAAATGACCTTGAGCCTAAAAGAAATCCAGCCTTTGTAACTAACGTGCTAGCAGTACGGACCGAGCTAGCACCTTGATGCCAAGCCAGCAGCAGGAGGTTATCCTCTCAATCGCCAGCTGACGTTCCTCCTCGGTGAAGGTTGTCCTTCTGGCTCGCTTGCTGTTTTCCACGAGGGCCAGGAAGGCGCGCTCGGTGTCTTCGAACGAGGGGGCAACCCGGTGCAGGGGCTGGGTCGCCGTCTCCTCTATGGGCATTCAATCATTCCATTACCATAAAATCCCGTAAGGGCGCCCTCCCCCGAGACATTGCCCATCCCGTTTTTCTTACTAAATATCTATAACATAAAAATTCCGAAACATTGCCCACCGCCCCGATTCCTGTTGGACATCAAGCGATGCCCGACGGGAATCGTGCACCAACGGCGTGATCAACAATACCAATGTGTCCGAGCAGCGAGTTCATAGCGGGTTCCCGCGTCTTTATCTGCGATCTGCAGGCGGTATCGGCTCGCGTAACACGCTAGTTGTTTCCACGTGTATATTGCATCGTGAAATGCGGATCTGCTACGTTCGCGATTTGCGGTATCCGTTCCCGAGTTTGTAGTGGATTCCCGTGTTTTTGTCCGCGATCTGTACATGTGATATCGATTTTTAGCTGTAACACGTGCGTGTTGTTCCTGCAAGTATATTGCATCGTGAAATGCGATTCTGTTGTGTCCGCGATCTGCGGTATTTGTTTCTGTGACATGCGAGTTTGTAGCGTATTCCCATGTTTCTGTCCGCGATCTGTGCGTGCAATATCGGTTTCCATGACAGGCAAGGTTCCCGCGTCTTTATTGCACCATGAAACTTGAATCTGCTGTGTCCACGATCTGCGGTATCTGTTCCCGTGAGATGCGCGTTCTCGGCAGTTACCCGCGAGTCCTTCGCACTGTGAAACGCAAATCTGCTGCGTCGGCCACTTGCGGTATCATTTCCCGTGACACAGAAGTTTGTAGCGAATTCTCGAGTGTTTTATCTCATCGTGAAACGGGAATTTGCCGATGTCCGCAATCTACAGTATCAGTTCCCGCGTCACGTGGTTTGTAGCGGGTGCCCCGGCGCTTATCATTAATTTTTGATTAAGTTTTGCTGTGGCATCCCCAAAGATAGCCCACCTCGTGTTTTTCACCACTTATCTCTTCATTTTGGATGGGCATCCTTACGGGATTTTACGGTAGTTGATTAGTACTGCCAGCCACGTGGCTGACACAGGAGAGCACGTCTGCACACAGTTGCTGAACAAGGTCCCCAAGTTTGATGTTTTCATTTCTTGTCGGGCAGCACCGAGCTTTCTGGGAAACTTGTGAAGAGACAGAGATGACCACTGCAATAAACATCATCCTTCTGTTTGTTTCTTAAAAAGATGGCGGTTTGGTTCGTTGTTCTCAACTAAATTCCAACACAGTAATTCTCAAGTGGGTGTCTGCAGAGGCCCTTTGGAGTCCCCGAAGGCCTTCTTGGAGTCCTCAAAGCCTTTACCATCCATCAAGCGGAGCAAAAATACTTTTTTAATGCGAGAGCATTAACTGTCTCATGGCGCGAGCCGACGTCATCAGCTTTGAAGCCACGCCAAACGGCACCTAAAATCCTTTCTCCAAGTGAAGCCAGCTCCCAGCTTTGAAACCACGCAAAAAAGCCTAACCAGATAGCACATAATTTCCCGGATCCCAAAGGAGCGGAGTGAAGCTGATGGATTTCGACTTCAGTCCCTTTGGCCGCTGCACGTCAGTTTCAACGACCGCTACCCCATGGCGTTGCGTGTTCGCGAGGCAGCGGCTTCACCGCTTCATGCCCAGGGTCAGCACGCCGAGGATAGCGTGCGGTCGACACAAGTACTCCGCAAACAAAATAAAGAGGTGGAAGAGCAAAGTGCATGCTTTCCCATTCACAACTCATAAGAAGTGCTTACGTGTACCTCGAGCCTTTTTTTTTAATTGACGCTGGCTGTCTCACAAAGCCAAATAGACCAAACTACGTGTGCCAAGTCAGTAGGTTGATTATTGTCCGTTTTGGAGCTTCCGAGTGCTTGCACACATTTATTTTTCTTCAATTACCCCCTTTGCCACTGTAATCATCCAATACCCCCTCCCCCTTCAGCCGACCCAAAAGGGGTCAATGAAATGTCGGTGGTTGAGAACCACTTTTCTAACAGTTGCAAAGCACTCAAGTGCATGGGACATTTTTGAGAAAGACACACACACTTCTTTCCAGAGATAATTTGACACTAAGTGCAAGATCAGAACATAGCTACCTAAAAATGACACTATCAACAACACACAGTTGTCTGCTTTACAACATTATAACATAAAACAGAAAAGCCTTTGCTTACAACCATTAGGTTTGGTCTAATAAAGAAAAGACAAATTAAATCGTTCAGTTGTCTTCAACTTTGACTTTGCCTTTGAGTCGTGCATGTGGCAAAGTATTCATGTGAGTGCAGAACTTCTGGTCCTGTCTCCTGTATCAAGTGGCTTCTAGCAACAGTCGTGTGACAGACAGAATCCCTCCTAAAGTTGCTCCGTGTTCTCCGAGATGTCCGAGTGGATTCACCTACTTCAAACAAATGGCACCACCGACAACATAATTTCATAAGACCCTTCCGATAATGCAAGGACCTTGTTGCACTTTTCTTCTGTCTACCTATATACTAAATTTAGGAAATAACAGTTTCAATTTTAGTGGGTGCCTGCACAGACTGTGAACCAATAACTTTTTGTTCACATGTGTGTCGCGAGAACTATAAAAGCGCAGGTTGGGAGACAATGTGGCTTCACGGTATCCTACTCTGGTGAAGAGTGGAGCGTTTTCTCTCACTTCTGCCAAGATAAACAACAGAAAATTGACATACTTAATGCCACTAAATCAACTCGGTTGCAGAACTGCGCATAGACTCTGGTCTCATCTACGGTACCCACCTGTCCCCCAAAGGTTAGTCTCCTGTCGTACGAAGCGCCACGGTTTGGGAGACGGCTGTTATGGTAACTACAGTGGGCTCCACAGAATGCACAGGTTTCGAAGCACAGTCCCTAGATGGCACTTCGATCGACAGGTGTTTTTTTTGTGGGAGAGGGAGGAGGGGCAAGTCTTGCTTTACTACGGGAGTTTCGCAACTGTGCTGAGCTATCGTCGACAAGGACTGACCTGCGACGTTGTGCTGGTCTCTTGGAACCATGATGCGCAAGACATACTGAAGAACCGACTGGGACAGACTCAGGGCCTCATTCAGAATGGTGCCCCCGTAGTCGACGCCGGTGAGGGAGCTGTGCCTCTCCACCGCTTTCAGAATGCCTTCAACGTCGCTCAGACAAGTTGTCAAGGTGAGAAGCCAACCTGCAAGCAAAAGACTCCTAAATGCTCCAACCGTGAATCGCCGAAAAACTTGTGAACAGCGTGAAAGCTAATTCAAAACGTAATCCGTAGAAATTACACAGAAACCTAATTCTAACGTGCTACTCGTAATACACAAAGTGTGCCGTAGACCGTGTGTAGAATTGACGTGCAACTGCCACTAAAAAGGCATCTATATAACTCAACACTACACAATATCTAACGAGTACTAGCAATGTAATGCGGTTTCTATTTTCTTTGAGAGAAACCGTGACTATGTATACGTTTGTAACACCATAATGGCATTACTAACTTCATTCTCTTCTTTTCAGCCCAACCATCTTTTTACAGCTCTGTCATTCCTATTGAATGAAAACAGGCTACCATACAACACTCGAGGAAAGGACAAAACGGAAACAAAAACGTCAAACAATTGATTCACACAAAACAACATCAATAAAAGCATCCTTAAAAAAAGAAAGAAAAGGATGTTCCAGATTAACATAGATGAGAACAAATAGTAAAAAAATGAAGTGATATTTACCGTGAATGGGACAGTCGGCAGATGATGAGGCAATGTCACGCTGTAGGGCAACAAAGTTTGTAACAGCCTGATCGCAGACTTCCAGCAGTCTGCTTGTCATTTCTGCATCGCTGACCTGTTTGAGGCTGAGTCAAAAGAGGCCGAAAAGAAGCTGATGTCGTATAATGCTCCAGGAGCAAGCCAAATAAGTGCAGTTCATCTTGCAAAAAAATATATAATCTGGGGCTCAGTGAAGGGGTTTAGAAAGACTTAGCGAAGAAAAAAAGCCCGCAAAGCTTCAACCAAATGGTCTAAAAATCTCACAATTATCTTACCATTTGTTTCCGAACTACAGTTTGCAGATTATACATGTTTCAATGAACTTTCTACAGGTGTGGACTACCGTAAAATCCGGTAAGAACGCCCACCCAAAATGAAGAGATAAATGGTAAAAAACATGGGGTGGGCTATCTTTGGGGATGCCACAGCAAAACTTCATTGAAAATTAATAAGCACCGGTGCAGCCGCTATAAACCACATGATGTGGGAACTGATACCGAAGATCGCGGACAGGGAAAATTCGCGTTTCACGATGCGATAAACACATGGGAATTCGCTACAAACGCCTGTGTCACATGAAAGAATACTGCAGGTTGCGGACGCGGCAGATTCGCATCTCACGGTGCGAAGGACTCGCGAAGGACCCGCCAAGAACTTGCATCTCCCGGGAACGGATACTGCAGATCGCAGACGCAGCAGATTCAAGTTTTACGGTGAAAGAAACATGCAGGAACCCGCTACAATCTTGCCTGTCATGGAAACCGATATCGCGAGCGCAGATGGCAGACAAAAACGCGCAAATCTGATTCAAACTCGCTTGTCACGGAAACGAATATCACAGATCGCAGACACAGCAGAATAGCATTTCACAATGCAATATATACGCGGGAACAACTTGCGTGTTACGGGAGCCGATATCACACGTACCGGTGCCGCAGATCGCGCCGGTGATGCGCGATTCCCGCCGGACATAGCTTGACATCCGACGGGAATCAGTGGTGGGCAATGTTTCGGAATTTTTATGTTACAGACATTTAGCCAGAAAAACGGGATGGGCGATTTCTCGGAGGAGGGATTTAACGGTATACAAGTATTTAATTTTTCAAGATCATTCATTAAGTCTAGACAGATTTCGTGATTAGCGGAAAGCAAATATTTTTCAAGGTGCGCTTTGCATGCAAATTTGTTGCAAGCAAAGGGTACAGACTAAGCCTACCAAGGAAAAGCTTTTTATTTTTCAGCCGAAATTTCTTTTTCTGGACTTTAGATAGAGCGCAGACTGTCGTTTGGAAAATATGGTACTTTTTCTTTTTCATGGTGCACTTATATCTATTACGATTCACCACACGAAGTCAAGAAAAGAAAGGTATGCATACCAGACGAGAGACAGCCGCACGAGCAGCGCACCAATGGCGCCGTCCTGGGGCCGCGGGCTCGACAGGTGTCGCCGAGCCAGGGACCAGAGCTCCTCATGTACGACGCCGCCAGACTCGAGAAAGTGGGACGCTTCGTTCGTGAGGAGGCTGAATGCCTTGAGGCGAATCTGAAGCGATCATCAAATCGTGACAAATCCTCACCGACTAGAACCGTCCAAGTTAGAAATGCGTGAGAACTTTCAAAAGATTTGCTCTGCTCTACTTCGTCGAGCTACCCTTTTGAATTGCTATCCTAAACCAATCCTGTCTGTATAAAATCAAGCTAACACACAATGACACATGGGGAAATAACTATAGTTGGTTACAGGTAAATAGGTTGAGGAAGCTGCTCCCACTTTTTTCTACTTCAACAGAGTGAATGCTGCAGAGTAGGCAACCTCCTCTCCAGCGTTCGCTCTGCTAAAGTGAAAAGAGGGGGAGGGGTAGCTTTTCCTGTAATTTTAACCTGTCACAGACTACAGGGATCCATGTTTCCAGTATGTACAGACAAAACCCAAAAAAGTACAACTTCTGGGCCAGTCTTATCAGAATCGGGGAAAGTCAAGAAAATCCCTTACCAGAGCTGTCCTCAAATAAGAATTCAGTTCACTTTTTGTAATTATAATATAAAAAGTACCTAATTTTGGGTGTGAACAAAACTGGCATAACTTACTTCCTCTACGCTATGAAAGAGGCAGTGAAGGAGAGCTGTCCTCATGCGTGCGGAGCCCAGCTGAAGTCTTCCGTTTGCCTCCTGGCGAAGAAAGGCATCCAGGTCCGCTGCATGAAGAATAAACGACAAAAAACAATGTTGACCTTCATTTCTGAAAGATGCAGAACTTGCTTGGGAAAGGTTGGCACGCGTGTGAGTGGGCGTGTGATGCAATAATCAACCCAGAACAGTTGTTAAGACTAATTATCGTAAAATGCGGCGGAGGCGCCCACTTCATTCAAGCGCCCACTACAGTTGAACCTCGATTTTACGAAACCCGATTTTACGAATTTCCCGACTTAACGGACAAAATCAGATTCCCGGCGGAGCCTATGAGCGAGGTCTCCCTTCCCTGATTTTACGAAGTTCCCGATTTAACGAAATAATTAGCGGGTCCCGGTGACTTAGTTAAATTGAGGTTCAACTGTATTAACATTCCCCAAACTTTGAAAATTCCCGGACAAGTACACAAGTCTAGATTAACCCAGTTTTCCCTGAAACCCACTTTCAGTGAAAAGTGAAAGTGGGTTTCAGTTTTCACGTACTCTCCCGGTATTTTACGGTTGTAGCCATTTACTTTCTGGAAAAATGGTGCCCTAGTGCACCGACTATCATGCAGATGTTGAACATAATTTAGGTTGTTGACAGTCTGAGCAGAATGTTCATAAAAGGTCTCTTGAAACTTTACCAACAACATGAATTCTCCACAGTTCTACATTTTAATGCGGAAAGAATGCTGTTGAAAGATGGCAATGGATATAGCGTCAAATCTTTCCCTCTGTATTTAATAAAAACTAAGAGTATTTCAAGATAAAAGTCCTTTCTTTAGAGTCATTGCATCATCACCTGGCAAGACCAAGAATACAATTCCTCAATTGAAGTACTTCCAAAAACCTTCAAAGTGGTCGTTGAACATTTTTCTCAAATTTTGAGTTATATGTCAATTGGAATCCTTGTCCTTTATTCTACAACCCACATTAATTCTTTTGATCGTCCAAAGTCATTTACCAGAATAAAAAAACTTCTAGTTTCCCGGGGAGCTTCCCTCTCAGTTCCACAAATATGTCATGACAGATAACCAATAGGGAATTTTTGTTGTCTGCACAAAATGGCAATATAGACCGGACTCCATGGGTGAAGCCAGAGCGTCAAATATCGCTCCAACAGCGACGGCATAATGACGTCACGCACACAAGTCAATGGATGACACCTGACGTCTGATATTATGATCAGATACTTGTAAGATGGCCGACCTCATTGAACTTTAAGGTCGCTTATTACACCACGGTCGGCTTCTAGGTTTCGATCTGCACACAGACACCGTGCGTTGTTTGTGCCTCTGACACCAGACTAAACTGCCAAGCAAAGGAAAAAAAAAAAGAGAAATCCTTGAGGACATTTAAGCACTTTTTATGAGTTGTGAATGCAAAAGCATTCTCGGCACCGAATGGATCAGAAGCGGCCACAGCACCGGCAGGGAGTATGGCGGTGCGCCGCTGGGTGAGGCAGCAATGGGAGTGCGAAGCTCGGCGCGACTGAAGTCACGTGTCCTCTTATCATCATCATCGCCATAGCCGCGGATACTGGTTGACGACGTTAGACCTCAAAGCATAACGTTAGCCCTAACATCAGGCCAGCGCATACCCACATCCCCCCCTTCACGTCAAACAGCTGTGCGAACCGGTTGACGACGTTAGGCATCAAAGCGTAACGATCCAGCGCATACTCAGCATCCCCTCCTCCCGCTGTGCCACAGGCAGTTCAGCTGGCTCAATAGCAACGATGACGCCGTTGCTTTGGCGCCACATGACGCGTCGCAGCTAATGGGAATTTAGGTCGCGTTTCACTCAGGGAAATTTCGGCGCCGTTTATCACTGCTACAAACAACGATAACGCCAGCTTCAAGCTCAGAGGATGCCGAACCGCTCCATAAACCATTTAATGCTTTCAGATTAAAAATTTTGGAGGGTGTCAGTGTGGCTTGAACTAGACCTGCAAGGGCTCCTGAAAAGAAAAAAAAAAGTATTTTTTAAACAGTCTGGGTGGGAGACGCGCAACAATAAATTGATTTTACGCAAAAAAAAAAAAAAAAAACATTTGGGAGCAGTAATGACGGCGGGAGATTTATTTTAAATTCTGCACGCGAAATCCATGACGTCATGGATCATTCCGAATGATCATTTCAGTCATGAAAGTGAAGGATCCACCTCTCCTCCACGCGCCCGAAAAGCCGAGAGAGAAAACAAGTGGAAAGGAGGTGACTGCCAACTAAAGCATGTCTCGCGCCGTCAATATCGCTCTAAAAAAATTTTTCTTTCCTCAAAAATTATTTTTTCACGCATGTCCCAACCAAATTGTTAAAAAAATATATATATATATATATTTTTTTTTTATGGGGTTCTTTAACACTCCAAAATTAAACTTTCAAGGCCGCTTACCTTCCTTGTGGATCGTTCTCCGCTTGCCAGTCGGGGCTCGACAGAAAGTACCGAAAACTGCGTCGAGGATGTGGAGGCACGTGACGGCTCGCTGGTAGCTGGCCCCCGGGAACAGGTGGCTGACCGACTGAGACACGATGCCGCCCATGATGTCTGCAATCACGTCGGATTTCCTACCAGTTTCAATACCAACATGCGTTGTAGCAGTGTGCAGCTGCACAATCACTATATTGATTGACACAAATCTTGGCAGTTAACGGAAGCTACAGATCTAGGGTGCAACATAGAAAGGGTCGTCCAGAGTAACTTTACTAGAGTGACACGCCTGAGATACATTCAAGGAGTCATCTAAAATGAACCCGGGGATGCCTACCCCTCAGTTAAGATGTTCTTCCAGTTCAAGCACTATTTTAGCAGATCTGGGCCACTCAGAGATGCATATAGCTATGTACCAAACACTCTTTAATAATGTGTATTATCGTTTACAAGGTGTGTTACTTTTTTACAAGGTCTGCACTGCCTTACTGCATCACTGCTGAGGCCGGGAAGAAGTCTTTAGCTATTAATCAGAACAATAGGCGTTCCTTGAGACTAAAGAATGTTAAAAACCCTCGATCTAGAGTTAATCCTAATGGAGTGACACACCTAAGGTACGATAGAATGAGTCATCCAGAGTGACTCTAAAGAAATGGTGCACCTAAGGGACGATAGAAAGGATCGCCCACGGTAACTTGAGGAGTGACGGTCCTAAAGCTTCGTAGTAAGAGTTGCCTAGAGTAAACTCTAGTCGAGTCATGCACCTAAGGACAGTCGTTTAGAGTAACTCTAGTAGCGCAACATACCTAGCGTGTGATAGAAAGAGTCGTCCAGGGCAACTCTTTTCTTCAAATCCGACTGCTTAGACCGGACGTATTGTGTGAGCAGACACTCCCTGAGCCGCACAACCAGGTTGTCCAGTTGCACGGTCACCCGAGTACGAAACCAAGCGTCGTCAATGTTCAAGTTGTGCTCCAGAAACTCGCAGACACCTTGCAGTTCCTGCCGATTCGGAAGCTCTGGAAGACAGGAACAAGGAATATGTTAGCCTGCGTATGCTATTAATCAATCACAAATGTGCACAGGAGGCTAGAATTATTTTTAAACCAAATGACAATGTAAAACGAGGACAAAGTGGCTCTTGTTCCCATATGAGTTATGACAGACAATTAAGCAGTTGACATAACCTTCATTTGTTAATTCCAGTGTCCCTAAAGAGTGACACCTGTTTAACAGTATACATAAAACAATTCCAGTTGTTACTCACCTCTCTTCTTTTGCCCTTATTTATAATTTGCACTGTCTTCATCATTAACAGCTGTTAGAGGATGCCCAAACAAACGAAAACTAGGGTAAAAATTAGGGTTGTGCGAATATTCAAAATTTCGAATAGTAGTTCCGAATAATACACTATTCGATATTCGCTTCGAAGAGAACTGCACTATTCGCGTTTTTCGAAGTGTTTATTACGGCGGGTGAGCCCCATTGAGTGCGCTTCTTACCAAGCACCAGTGCGCTGCGGAGAAGCGAAACCCGTAAAATTGAGTTCCGCGGGATTTGCTTCTCCGCATCAGACCGGTGCTCGCGAAGAAGCGCACTTAACGGGGTAACTCACCGCGATAAACAATATCGTAATTGCGTGCTCCATAAAAGCATACATTCAAAGCGGGATAGTGTACCTGTGCCGGCTGTATCTGAAAATAAATGGAAACTTTGTGAATGTGTATATCTACGTTGTAGTAAAAGTTTCAAAATTAAGCTTTTATTGAAGAGTATACTATGTTAAGCAGAAATGCTTTTACAATCTGTGTTCATCATGCGCGACTCATTTTTTTTTAAACTTGAGATTAAAGAAAGAATATTTCTTATATCAAGATTCGTAAATTCACTCATTTGGTACTGTTGGCCATCTATATACGATTCATTTTATGTAAAATCCGTAGTTTACCTGCCATCCCAAGACACCAGACCTTCTGAGATCACAGTTCACAAATATCGATAGATTAAGCTTATGAATGAAAAAGTGGAATAACCTTTACAAGTTTAGCTGGGTTTTCGTCCAAGCATTATGCAATGGTATTAAAAGGCGTAGAAAAACTATTCGATATTCGAATCGAAAATATTCGGCCAAAACCGCTATTCGCTTCGAATTCGCTTCGAACTCAAAATCCACTATTCACACAAGACTAGTAAAAATCACAATGTGATGGAAACATGATTTCAATATTACATCAGGGTTATGATGCATGCAATATAGTTGGACAGATGCCAAAAAACAAAATTGCTGCTGTGCAAGAGTCACTTTACTCCGTTCCATACAGTATGGGATTATGGGCAATTTCACATAGAAAAGCAATAATGGACAGATCTATGTTATTTCTTCCTCAATAGGATGTTAGAGTATTTCCGTCAAACCTTGCCCTAGACATGATAAGAAACCGAAACCAAAAATTCAGCTTTCAAGGGCTACACTGGTCCTGCATTGTCAAAGACATGGCTAACCACGTGGCACAAACAGTCACATGATCTTTCTCAATGACGTTGCCAGAAGATGATGCGCAAAACCATTGATTGAAAAATGCTATTGGCTCAGAGCATTCTAGTAGCGGTTGCGGCATACGCGCTAAGCATAGAATAAAAGAAACACAAATAAATGAGGAAAAAAAAAAAGCCGTTTACAAATCCCTGTAACGCCGAATTGGAGCGCAGCTCTTGAGTAGGAGTAGGGAAGGGTACTGAGGGGGGTCACGTCACCTGCGGGTAGTCACGTGACCTCGGGGGAGGGGGAGGGGGTCACGTGACCGCCCCCCCGGTTACGCCGACGCCGCTCAGGCTGGAAATGGGCCCCTAAGAGCTGCGCTCTAAAAGAAAGGCTGTGTCTATAGTGCCGTCTGACGGCACTCCACTTGCGCCTACAAGTGCCGTCCGAAAGGAAGTTGGACGGCGCGTGTGTTACTGGAGAGCTCGTTAACCCACCCCCCCCGCCTGCGTTCACGCCGCTTCGCGGCGACAGTATGCGGCTGCTAATCACAAAACCGATAACCCGCTTGGCCTTGTCGTACACGCCGCTTCACGGTGTCCAGCTGGCAACTCAAGCCCTGATGTCCCCCATGTACCTCCAGAAAGGGAGTCCCACACCATTTTGTTCAGCAAAGTTTCATCGACAACAGAAGTTTTTTTCAGTGTTGACTGTAAAAAAGAAATGTCGTAAATATTGCCTAACGCCTCGACAAAAAATGTTTCAGAAAATAAAATAAAAAAGTAAGCTCACACTGGGGATCGAACCCGGGTCCGCTGCGTATAAAGCAGACATCTTACCACTAAGCTACGCTACAGCTCCAAAAAACTTGTTTTAACAATTCGTTTTATACGAGACTTTTGGACTGCACTTGAAGGTGTGAGTGAAGTGCCGTCGGACGGCAGTTGAACGCTCTGCTAGAGTGGCGTCGGATGGTACTCTAGACACTATATAAAAGAAATCACAGTTGTCAGGAGGCTTACTTGATTTAAAATGGCACGAACAGAGAAGGCTGAACACTTCTGCACGAACAATGTTTGATTCATGTTTCAGGCATTTTGCAATCAGCTCTTCCTGCTGAAATGTAAAGAGCAAGAAATCTTCAGAAGTGTTATCAAAGACAGCACGAAACCATTCAAACATGTCGCCACAAACAAACATGTTAAAACATGCTTAGCCAAGCAGCATTATAGCCACTGATTAGCATCAGTAGTCCTTACCAAGTTTTAATAAACTATAGGACCATTAGTCTAATCTAGGTCATGGAGGTGCCAGTCTGGCAGTATACAAGCAGTAGAGGGGCCACCATTTACTGCAAAACACTTTATTTTTGCAGCCCCAAACGTTTTGCGAATAGGCGCCCAATATTCTGCGGCAGAACCCACCTCCGCAGTTGGTGAGAAGCTGCCTGCTTGCTTTGCTATTCGCATCAAGGCCACGAGAGCCACGAGAGCACCCTCGCTGCGGCAGCCTTCAAGGTCGGCCCTCAGCTCATCAAAACTGCCTGGTACGTTTGCCACCGTCCACGGCAGTATGTGTGTCACCAGGTTTTGAAGGCATGCCCTGCAAAACCACATTGTAGGAAGAGCATTCTTTGCAAAATCCTTAAAAGTTCTTAGCTTTCTTTCTTTTTCTGGGTGTGATGCAGGTCCCATATGCACACTAAAACATGGTAGTATTTAAATAGAGGCTTAAAGTTTCAATAGCATAATTTCTGAAACGGAAGACTATTTTATGACTTGACAGCTATTGTGGGCACTCTGTCCTCCTCTCATAAGGTAACGCCGTTGCATTTTCTCGATGTTAGGGTTACGACTGTTTTTAGACGAGAAAGCATCCCTGAATTACGAGGTGTCTTTTTTTTTCTCGATGCTTTGTGTAGTTTTGTAAATATCTTATCTCAAAGTTTTGTTTCGGGGATCCACAGTGAAACCGAAATTACGGGCTTGAGCATGATGGCAACCCTTGTGATCAGTTGCATGGCCACTGTGTGACGCAAAGTTTGTGCCACAATACTACAATATATGAAACTGGCCTAGTTGCAAGAGCAGTTCCGATCAGTCAGGAAAGATCCTAAGGCTCTTATACTGCTTTGCTTCATCCCTGTAGCAAAGATCAATATGCATCCATAAAGCAGCCGGTCAAAAAGCATACTTGCCACAATGAACGCAGGCTCAGAACGTGCTTCCACTTATCTTCAGAGAAGAACTACAAAAGGACAAAACTATGGCCACCAGTGAATACCATCCTAGGCACCATGACACGCTTGAGTAAGCAGGGATTCAATCTTCGCGTGCGCGATTTCAGATACGGTAGGGTGCCAGCCATATAACAGATTCTGTGTTAAAAATAAAAGTGCAAACCTGTCACAGTATTTGATGGTCCTCACGATCACGTCCTTCCAGTGATCCCGCCAGAACTCTTTGCTTGCCGAATTTGCACTTCTGCAAGGTTGAAAGATGAGCGATTCTGAGCAAAGAATTTTCGCCTGGCGAAAGAGCCGAGAACGCAAATCACCCGAAGGCGGCCAAGATCAAACCAAACTACACACCCCCCTTCAAGAGACGCCTTGTAAACGTCTGCAGCGGATGACACAAGGTGGTTCGCCTGCAGGCCACAGATGGCCTTCCGAGTAAATTCGGGATCCATCTCCAAACACTGAAGAGAAGAAGAGTTACGTAAAAACAGCATTCACAAAATGGCTAGAATGAGTGTAAAACATGAAAGCTGAAATATACGTGGGGAAACGTTTTTTCACTCCCAAGGGGACAAGATGCTGAACGAAGCAATGAGCTCGCACAAATAGCTTCGACAGCGCTCTATGCTGCGTACGAAATATGGTATAGATGGTGTTGCTTTTTATCAGAGCACCGCGGACACTGTGCACTACCCCCGACATCAAACGGAAAAGTTGGTGCACGGTATAGCCGTATCAAATGAAGAAACGTTTGACACTTCAAACTATCCTGCATCTTTGGTTACAACTCGGCAGGTCAGTTTTAGTGCGCTTATTAGAAATGAGGGAAGAAAAAAAAGGATACAATTGAAAACGAGCGTGTTGGTTAATAGATACAAAACTTGAAAGTATAAAACAGTGAGGACGAGGACGGGAACAGGACATCTTTCATTTAGCAACAACATAGAACGGCACAACGATAAAAACTGCAAACAAGAATAATTCTGCATTATCACTGACAATGACAAAGGTTGAATTCTAAGTAATCGGAGATAACTAGATTACTGATGCGCTTTCCAACTTTTCTATTTAGCGTATTCCCTTTCTTTTCTAACTAGTATCTTCTTTCCCTCTTTGAGAACGTGGAGACCCTTGGGGGGTGGTTTTTATCGTTGTGCCATTCTATGTTGTTGCTAAATGAAAGATGTCCTGTTCCCGTCCTCGTCCTCACTGTTTTATACTTTCAAGTTTTGTAAAAAAAAAAAGGAGAGTATCTTTCTTCAAAAGCTAGAGCACGAAACTCGTGTGAAGAGTGTTTCCACTATACTTACCACCTCAAAAGGCACAAACTTCAACAGACAGTACAGGCTGAGAAATTTCGGCTTGGTCCTCCAGTCAAGCTGCATGGTTCGCTTCAGCAGGAACTTGTGAAGCTCCGGAACTTCCGAAAACTTCCCTTCGTCATTACGATGCTCCTTCAGACAACCCAATCGAAGCAATGACAGGAACGCCTTCCTCACGAGCTCCGGAACGCCGCTGATCGACGACTCCCAAAACAAATCACACACCGACAGGATTAAGTCGACTTGCTTCGACCCCGGAGTAAACACATCAACGCCCAAACATTCACCCTGGATTTTTGATGGAACCTCTGGCAAGGGACCGGTGATAACAGACGTTTCACTTGATGAGTCTGCTGCCCCATGAAGACCATCCGACAGTGCTAAATTCTTCTGGGAACTTTCACAATCCTTTAATGACACAAGGTCGACGACCCCTACCTTTGTTGTCAAAAGATTCTCCACTGTGTTCAGCCACAGCACGAGAGTGGCGAGCACGTGAAAGTGTGACTCGCCACAGCTGTGCGCGAAAAAGACCAAGAACGGGAGGAATTCGAGAATCAACGGTCTTTTCCGGCTCCGTGATTCATGCCGGGTCAAGATGAAACGGACGTCGGGTCCGCAGCTGAGGGCTCCGTGGATCAAACACAAGTGGTAGTGCGTCGGATATTCTAGGCCATCCCACTCTATCGATTTTGTATGCTCGCAAACTTTGCCGGGAAAGGTCTGGTCCGCGCACGGGGCACGAGGGTAATTGGAGTGGCACGATGGACGGAGAATGAGGTCCTCCACTGCTTGTGCGGTGGCGAGGGGCGAGAGGAAGCGAGAAAGCAGACGAAAAACGCAGGTACCCGCGAGGAGGCCCACATCCAAGTTCCGAGCCTGCAATGAAAGCAACAACCGTAGACTTAGTTTCAACACGAAAAGTCCTCTTGCTTTAGAAATTCTCTCCTATACGTGGGTAATCTGGCCAATAGGTAGAACACGCCACCCTCATAAAAAAAAAAAAGGAGGAGGAGCAAACGGCAGACAAGCATCTCTTAGTGCCACACCGCAACGGTGGTCAATCTCTGAACTAGATTTCGGTTTGCGACGGCAAATTATATCTGGGACTGTGTGCAAGGCGTAGTGTTTGTTATCTTGCCGTCTAAAAACACAACGATGGAACTGCTACTCATGGGTAAAGCCCCTTAATAATTTTATAGCAGGTGACAAAATGAGAACGGCAGGGCACGTCTTTCGAATGCCCGGCCTCCAGGACTTGCTTCATGACTTTTACCGCGCTTTGACTGCGCACGCGTGCTTGAGATGCAGGGGACATCGAAGCATTGGCTAAGGTAGAAAGCTAGTGCTGAAGGTGGGATGACACTCTCACCTTGTAAGTTACTATAGTAAAAGCAAGAATCAACCGCTAAAGGATGGAGAACTACAGCATGGTGCTTTTGCAAACACCACCTCATTCGAAGAGCCCGATACACAGGTAACCAGCTACCAACTAAAGGTTTAGATTTTAATAAGTTCTTTGGGCCAGATAGCAGGAACCATTTCCACCTCTTCTAGTCAAGGGTGCTTAGAAAAAAAGAGATATTTCATATAGGTACTCGGCACAATTATTTATTTTCTACACCCCTCAACGTTGCTTCCGAGGTTTGGACCCATAGCCTGAACGGCTATGGGTCCAAACAGTTTTTGTGTATTTTGGAAGCAAGTATGAAAATAAAGCATTGAATGAATGAATGAATGAAAAACAAAAACAAAATACCAGGTAATTTTGGAAAAGGTAATTTTGGAAAATACCAGGTAACGTGGAAAAGTACAGACTCCTGGGAGGAATCTGCTGGAGAAGTAGGAAGGGCACAAAATGTGTCCTACGAGAGTTCTTCTTGCATAAATTTTGCATCTGTAGGCATGCTTATACAGCTTTGTTTTCCTGGTTTCTTTTGATACACTACTGCCAAAAGTTTTTTTTGCCCCTCTGCAATGTCAAACACTGAGGAGCTTTAGGGGTGGTGAAGGTATCAAAGTAGGCAACACGAAAGCTAAATGGAAAGTAATGCTGGTGCAAAGAAAAAAACATGTACTTACTTCCAGGCTGATGTGCTCCAGCAAGGTGCAAGCCACCTTCGGAAAAGGCACAGTCTCGAGATTCGACTTGGGCAGCTTCGCCACTGCATTCATCACAGCCTTAAAAACAAAGTGAGGTCGCCTTCAGTATTTCATCGTTGAAACACATGCAACTCACCGATTTAGCCACAAGTTAGTGGGCATAAATGCAAACAAGGTTACCAGATTAATGCATGGGCGTTGGCAGGGGGGGTTGCAAAAGGGGCAGTTGCCAGCCCCAAGGCAATTAAAACCGAGGCCATTTAAAAATATATCAAAAGTAACTACTAGAACATGTAAAAAAGGAGATTTCTTGCCCCATGTTCCATAGAAAAAACATATGAAACGAAAAAAAGAAACCAAGCTGTACTTTTGCCTTAGCGACCTCCCAAACCCCTTACCTGGCTAGGGGTGCATTTGTTTCTGAATATACAACGCAATCACCGCAATGAACACTCAGTGACAATAATGCAGAAACAGAGCAAAAATCATCAGCCATTCAACTCTGTGAAGGTGGATGGCCAGCGAAGCTGTTTAGCGGACGACACAGACCCGCCCCTGATGAGCCGGAGAAAACTAGACACGCGCGACGAGACCACCACCCTGGGAGAGTGGAAGGGAACTAGGCACGCAAGCACTTGGAACGACGGCCAAGAGAGGGTGGTGCGAGCGTAGACATGGGCGACGTGGGTCGCAAAGGGGCAAATCTTTGAGAAACCTTCACTATCTACTTGACAGTCTACTGATCTTGAAAATGGTGCCTATTGATAACTCATCTACTGAAAATGCATATCCAAGTGATGATACGCATAAGCTTTTGCATAGAATGAAGCGATTTTGCATCAAATTCAGGACCCGAGTTTTTGTTGACGCACACGAAAGTTCCGCAGAACCTTAGCCATAAACAGCTTCGCTGTAAAAACATGGATGGAGCAAAAGGAACACAAAAACAGGGCGAATGCTGCCTTGTTTGCATGTTTCTTCTGCTCCGTCCGTGTTTTTGTGCTGTTTCTACATTCTGATCAATGAATACCAACTAGCCCAACTCTCCACATTAGAACACTCAATAGTGATGAAGACAGCAGTGAGTAGAAAGTTGGTGAAACTGCCCGACAAACAAGCCCTTTCATTTTTGTGTACTACTCTTACATCTGCATCCACCTCTTTGTCGAAATATCCCGTCATAACTTTATTGATGCCATGGATGAAGCCTAGGTTTATTTTAACCTTAATGGTTCCTTTTGAGTAGGTAGGTGTTGATAAGTATTTGTACCCATAAATTAATTATATAATTGGGGTTCTGCTTTTATGATATTTGTATTTGGTGTATTGATAGTTTTTCAGTTTAACTTTTTGATATATATTGCTAGTATCCTGCGGTGCGCCCAGGAATATACCGCGACTAGGCGTATAAGAACTTGTACGAAGTCCAACCGCCGACCGCCGAGGCCTTGCTTGCGCGCATCAAGTAAAAAACAACCTCCTTGCTCAATTTGGTCATTATATATTTCTGTAGATTATAAAAAAAATATTTGTTGCTAAATAACTCCCCGCCTAAAAAAAAAAAAGATGTTGGGTGCTAAAAATTTTGTTTTTACCAAAATATAATCCTGCTGACGCTTATGGACTAATTTGTAGGTGTTTACTTTTGAATGGGAAATGCATAGTTGCCTGTTGGTGGACAACCCTTTGTGGGTTGGCATACTTGCCTCAGATTTAGCAACATTGGGATACGCCCATGGGAACCTCGGAAGTCGCTCGCTGCTGGTAATGTTTCTACGTTAGCCTTGAGCCAATGCTCTACAACAGTCTGTTGCAGGTTAAATGGCTACCGAATCCAAACTTAAAATATACATCTCACGTCCAAAAACAAGTTAACACATAATCACTTAACCCGCTACTGACGATCGCACACTTGTATTTTGAATGGATGGCTGCATTTTTTGCCTTTTGTTCAAAAGAACCGATTTCAGCAAGTGCTCCAAGATTAGCTATTAAAGAGTGCAATGCATCACGGGCGCTAGACCAATTGACGTCACAGACGCGACGTCAATTGAATCAACACGGGCAAAGCTTCTTGGGGCTGGCGTGGTTACGAGCTCCGCCACTTGGCGCAGTCAACGCGTTACAATCTGGCTGTTTTTAGTTGCCCCTGCCCAGTCCCCGCAAGAGCTGAATAGGCCGGGAGAGGAAGGAAATCCGGTTTGACAGGACTCACACACACGCAGCTTGCCGCCGTACTTCCACGGAGCAGCACTGCTTTTAAGTGCAAAGCGACATAACGACATTCGGTTTATTCCTTTAAAAAATGTTTGCAGTCTTTTTTTAAGAAAAAACATTCAGCCTTTCCACTCTCGTGAAGAAGAAAGACCAGCGGAACTGCACTTGATACACTGCCACAATGCGCACGCGCCCGTTTCCCGCTTCTTCTCGTCCGACACGCCGCCGATCGTGGATACGTCTCTGGCGACCCAGAGTCGGTCCGACACGGCGCACTGACGCCAAACGGGTAATCCACGAACTCCCTCCGGAACATCACCATCACGCCCGGGAACTGTTCAGCCGGCGTGGAGTGCAGTCGTCGCCGAGCCTCGCGCTTGCACTTGGCCTCCGTGGCACGATCGTCGTCCATGGCATTGGCCCGCCGGCGCCCTTTACATTGCTGGTTCTGTTCTCGGCGGCGGCTTTCCGGCGAGCGATGTGCTTTTCTTTGGCGAGGGAATCCGAAGCACTCGACGCAATGGAAGTCGAGGCGACAGCGGCTTTGCGGCAGTTACGAACCCGTTCGCGCTGCTGTGTACGTCACCGCTCCTTCCGCAGCCAGTCTTCTTTCCCCAAAAGGGCACACGGCTGACCCATCCCGAGTCCAAACCGAAACTGATAAGAGCGTAGGAAACAGCGCGCAAAACAAACGAGGACGAAGGAACACACGTGACAAGCGCTGCGCTCATTACGTGTGCTTCTTCTTTGTCTGTTTTTCGCGCCTGTTTCCTAAGGTGAATTCCCACCAACGCGCCGCCCAACTATCCATTCTTCTATGATAGGTGGAAAGATTGGCACCATCTACCAGCGACGGCAGCAACCATACTGGTTCTGTGCTTGCTGCCGTCGCTTATAGATGGCGATAGCTGTCCAGAGGCGTTTTGTCGACAAGTGTTTTGTACCGGACACGATCCTTGGGAACCTAGCCCTTAACAGCTCTGCTGTAAAAATTGGTGTCTCCGTGGTGTGGCCAGAACGTGGTTGACATTTCGAAAATAAAATTGGCTCTAAAATTTGCGCTATGTAAAAAAAGAAAAAAAAAGTGTCTAACGTTACGTTTGGCGTAACCCAAGTTAAGTCCAAACTTCGCCTTCCTTAGGTTCACGGGGGAAAGAGAGGAGGGCGGGGGGGAGGGTTAGGTATACCCGTTTCAGTGCTCCGCCCGGACGTAACGCTAGCCACAGCAGCAAAAAGAAAAAAGAAACTGTTTTTTTTACAACAAAAAGACAAATTGCACTCGTTGATTGTTCCTAATGATTTTTCTTTTTTTTGTATAGCGAAGTTTTATTTTGGTTGCTAATACTGCTTGCAGTAATATTTTATTCTCTCTTTGTTCACTTTTTCTACCGATATGACCACTTTCTGAAGTACAGTCTGCGGTAGCTCTACAGCCATACAGTCGTTTTTTTTTTTCTTTTTGTGCTGTACAGCTTTATTATGATTAGAGCGCATTCAAATAACAAGTATCTGCTTATTAAACTGACATAAGAAAATTAAAAAAAGCTAACTAATAATAGTTATTGGAAGGATGAGAACGGAGGAAGAGCTTCGTTTCGGCGCATCATGATTCGGTGTTCATGATTCATGAGCCTCGAGCGTACACGCGCAGTCAAAGCACGACGGAAGGCAAAGAGGGCGTGCTGGAGGCAGGGTCCTACTAGGGAGCCTCCCTAGGTCCTACCGCTCTCATCCTCTTAATAACCATATAATATTAATAATAAAATTTAAAAAAAAACATCGAACAAGTAACTCTGAGCATAACGTAACTAATGGAAAGGGTCCGCTTACTCTAATCTTCGCCTGCAAGTTTTTGTCACCGCCGTCGCAGCTACGTCGACCAAGCAGAACGTCTAAGGACGCCAGTGCCTCCTCGTCAGCGTTATTCAGCATTTTTTAACTGTTTCCCACGGGCTGTGCTCACAAAGTTCACGATCCTCTCATAGCCTAGCGTAAACACAAAGCACGTGCAACCAAAGTACCCAAAGGCCCCAAAGGCCCTAAGCTGCCCTAAGTACCGAACCGAAGCAATGGCAAACAGTAAACAAACATGGGATAATAGTCGCTGGTGGCGCTAGTGTACGTATCAAGATATCAGATAGCATCCTCGATCACCCGCACCGGTGCGCACCGGGGCACTGAGGTGCGCCCCTTCATCTTCGATCAAGTGCACCGGTGCGCACCGGACGTCCTCGATCAACGAAGCGCACCCTCCCGGTGCGGCTTTCCGTTGCCCCAACGCGCACCAAGAAAATCGGCGGTGCGCCGGGGGGCAGTCCCATCAGGCATTGCGCCCAGGAGCGGGAATCGAGAAGATGGCGGGAGTAGCAGACGCGCAGATTATCGAGATGGCGATCTTGCAAAAACGAACACGCCTCGCAGCTGTACTAGATGATTTCCTCGGGTCTTCTGACGTCGAGACGACGAGCTTCTCACCATCGCCGCGATTACTGGCGATTGCTTCGGTGGCAAGGAGCGCCCGAAAAGCACGAACTTCGTGGAAAGCGGCGCGAGGCGTTTCGATGACAGCGAGGTACGGCTATTATCTGGTGTTTCGTTTTCTTGAACCAATAATGATGGCCAACATATACATATGGAATTGTCACCCACTTCGTGACCCCATCGACAGTCACGTCCACGATGTTTATTTCTGTGGGACCGTCAAATCCGCGAGTAAAACAATAGAAGAAATTGACAGCAGACGGGCACCGTGCGCTGACCTACGCAAGAAAAAACGAACAAAACGCGAAGTGACGCAAGGTGGAGCTCGCCGCGGTGCATCGGCGCGGCGCAGTTTGTCCTCGATGTTGCACTGACATCGCGCTGCACGACCGAGGAGCGCTGTGCACTGTGCTGGTTTCAGGGCGATTCCGGTGCGAGTTGATCGAAGATGCTAAGAGATCTATTAATGTGCTAAAGGCAGGTTACAAAGATAGATGTAATAAAGAATATTTTAGACGCTCTGGCACACAAAATAATAGCTTGAAATATAATAACATAAAATAAGTTTTAAGACAGGGTCGAGAGGTAGAAAGCTAAGCCGTAGCGCATTTATACATTTTTTACTTTTTTACCACAGTGATATTTTTACCTTTTTTTTCCCCTCGCTTTTTCAAAGGAGTGGACCGGCGTTATCTGACTATCAGAAGAGTTATTGACTAATTGCTTTCATCGGTAGTGCCGAGGCTCTTTTGTCATTTTAAGAAGTGAGGTTCGTGGATTGGTAAGCGTATTTTCTTTCTCCTGATCATCCACGAAGTGATCGAAACTCTCAACATTCGCTTCTAGTTTGTGGCACATGTTTCGTTGTTTCAGACGCCGCGGGCCGTGTCCCCCGAGTAGAAAAGGCAGCGTCATAAAAATCGTCGTCTCACCTTCCCTGAGTATCATAAAACCCAGTGCCCCATTCCCGCATTCTGTTGGAACTGCCATCCCGTTGATCCTCCTTCCTGTTCCGTTTTCTCGGCGGCGATTTTGAGTTGGTTCGGAGCTTTCCAACATGGCAGAGTTATAAAACATTCATTCACATAAAAAAAAGTTTGTTTAAACGTAGCATAGGCGTCCTGCGTTGCCCAGGAGGCGCTGCGAAAAATGACTTGTTAGGATTTGTTTTGGGTAGTACAAACTTGAGGGACTCAAACTGCCACACATATAGGCATACCTGCTCTGGCGCGGAACACGATAACAAGGAAAATAGAAAAAAAAAAACTAAAAATGCTAACGCCGTCGAAGCACAGGCCAAAGCTAGGACGATAAGAGCGAGAACCAAGAAACGACGTATCGCGCATCCCAAAGAAACATTAATGGGGAAGAAAAAACAAAAACGTTGGGACGCCAGATGCTCTAACGTCACCACATAGAGATACGAGATGCATACCCTAGTGGTGGTGGCATGAATCCGGAACTTTCAATTGCCTTGCGGCGTTGAATGTAGCCGATTTCAAATGTCGAAAGGTGTTTTTCCATTCTTCTGCACTACACAGAAGGAAACAAATCACGGCGAAGGCGCCACAATAGTGGGAGTCCCTACCAGGTGACCTTGTACTACCCAAAACGAGGGCGCCACAGTTTGTTCAAAGCTAGGGAGCCTACATACTCGCCAACTAAGCTTCGGTGCAGGAGTCCCATTGGCAATCCGGACCAAATGCAGTTTCAGAGCTTCGGTTCAAAAATTAGATTATAGCTATTTTTGGACAATTTCAATGCTGTCAGCTACAAAAAACGGGCCCATTATTTTTTTTTTTTCTGAATTAGAGGTAAATAGGGGTTGTCGCGAACTTTTGTCGAACCGGACTTTTAGGTCGAACTTTCGGGGTTCGACTAAGTTAAACCAGGTCGACGAACCTTCGAACTTTTCACCAAATTCGACCGGTTCGGCTTTGTGGGCAGTGTGGCCAAACCTTGATACAAGCATATCTTGGTTTGGAGAATTTTTTTTTTATGCAAAGAGTTATTTTATTTTATGAACAGTTGCAATTAAAAGAAACCAATTTCAATCACTGAAGAAGTTAATAACTTAATTTTTTTTGTACTGCATTAACTGAAATAACCAATCAGTGCTGCCCTTAATTCATCGCTTAGCCATCACCATCCAATCCGAAGCCAACTGGCCAGCCTTTTGCGCATGCGCACATGAGTCGAACCTTAATACAGGGTTCGTCAAATTCTCCACTAAAGGTTTGAAAAACACGAACCTTAGCCGGTTTGCGACACCCTAGAGATAAAGCGAATCGAATTGCATAATAAAGGTTATGAATTGAATTGACCCCGTAAGTGTGACGTCATGGGTCCAAACAAACCGTTGCTAGGGTCGTTGTTATGGACAAATACATGTGGCTAGGTTTCGCTACGAAAACCCGACCGTTCAAAAATCGGGAGTAGGATTTAAACTTCTAAAAATCACAGATATAGAAAGCTTGAATGTCATATATATTTCGACAGAGGTGTGCCAGTAATCACTTGTTTCTGAAATATTTACGACTGCAACTTCCGGTCCTCAAGATGCCTGCAGCAGACGATGAATGCAACCGTCTGCCACAAGCCGGCGCCGTCGTTTGAATCGTGTGAATAAGGACGATATTCTGATATTGCATTTGTTCTAAATATAATGATTTTCAGTAACTTAAGAGAATTCATAGTTGGGTGCGATGCAAAATATGGTTTATCGTAAGTCCAGGCGTCGATCGAGATGATCGTCTGCTAAAAGATTGCATTGGACCCGTGAGAAAAGCACTTCAGGCTATCGGTCGAGATCCCAAATTTTGTTTGTGGACTCGCGCTATGTAAAAGTGCGTCGCACCTCGTTGTAACCATCGCTGCAATGGTTGGTGAAAAATCGCAATAGACATGGAATTTTATAATAACTTGACAACATCAATAATAATAATAATAAACGAATTACTTTGACGGCGTACAATTTGTTTCTCATGCTGGCCTGCACTACGCTGGTAATGCACTTCAGGTCGTCGTCGTAACTGATCTGCATGACGTGGTTTGATTTTACGGCATTTTCATCCCTCTGAACTAAGCTGGGTTCTTCACAGAAAGAAACGCACATTGCGGAGGCCTCTACGGCCACGGCAATGCACTTGTTTTTGTCGCTTGTTTACTGACGCAATTCAATGAAGACACCCGCTGCAACAGAAGCCAGCGAATCTATCGTGTCGTCACATCAGTGGTAATACTTCAGAAATGGCTTTCATTGTTGCAATACGACACTGAGACGACAAGAACATTTTCATAATTAGATATCAAGAAGTTAGGTTGCTTACGAAAAATTATTTAATTGTAAGCAAAAATCTAGCCTCATGTGGAGTCTCCATGCATTAGTCCATAGCAGCGTCCCTAGCAACGGTTTGTTTGGACCCAGACGCCATGTTGTGACGTCATCACTTACGGGGTCAATTGAATAAAATATTTTTGAATAAGAACATTTTATAAAACAAATATTTTCTATTTTATGTGAATTAAGCAAGAATGCTCAATCAAAATTACCACAATTGGGATTTTTTTTTGTTCCCAAAAAATTTATGAAAGGGTTACTTTTATTGCATTAAGAAAAATGTCACACATGTGACTGATAAAAAAAAAAAGATGAAATAAAAGATCACTCAGTCCATGAGTGAAGTTACAGAGCACACATGAAATTACACAACTGGAGGCAGGTTGGCAAGCCACAACGCAGTCGGAGATCGCGTCGTGGAGCTGCACCAACTTTGTGCAACCTTTTTACACGGGTGAACACAACTATGTGAACATAAACGGAAGTACACAAGCGCAAGTGAGTCGGCAGGCCAAAGCCGTGTGATCGCGGTGCACAGCCGCACTGACTTTGTGCCATCTCTTTCTGTGTGTGCAATAGTTCTGTCGACAGAGGGCTTCATAAAGAAGCAATAAGCAGAGCCGTGTATGGGGAGAGTTTGGCCAGTCTATGATCTCGCCGCCGTAACGACCCCGTCCTGAGTGAGCCAATCCGCCTGCGGCGCAGAGCGAGAGGCGCGAGCGCATGCGCGTGAACTTCAGGCTGCTCCCAGCTAAGCAGGGAGGGCCGCCATTTTCATTCATTCGCCCGGCAAAATGCATGGGATCGACATCCAAATTTCGGTTCTTTCTTTTTATTTGGCAGGCTCTGACAAGAAAATGATATACTCTAGTGTTATTCCTTGGAATTAAGTTTCTCCTCGTTTGAACGCAAACTTTGACTCGGGCGAAAAAAAAAAAAAAGCCCATAGCAGACGATGCTTAGCCTCAACAGTGCTCGGCGCCAACAGCGTTGCGTCAAAATGGCCGTTGTTTCCTCTTTGCTCCCTTCTTTCTCCCACTCTTTTGGTTGCCTCCCTTTCCTTCACTTTTCTCCTCTCCTGTACCTTCGTCGCCACACCCACTGGCCAGACACCCCCAATATAAGGCTCTGGCAATAAGTTAAGAATATATATTTTTTTTTTATTTGGCAGAGGGAGCAAGTCTCACTTTTACCAGTGAAAACGGGTAGAAAAAGAGAGCAGAGGGAATACTGGCAAACTGATGAAACGGAAAATCATTCAAAAGATAACATGAACCAGATATCGCCGATGGCCAAGGTTAGCCTATCGCCGATGGCCAAGGTTAGCCGTAAATCCATATCCGAACCCATAGCACCTTGGCTACTGTAATGACTGTAAAAAAAAGTGAAAGCCGTTTACAACTCCCTGTAACGCCGAATTAGAGCGCAGCTCTTGAGGAGGAGGAGGCAAGGGTACTTGGGGGGGGGAAGGGGGGGGGGTCAAGTAACCTTGGGTGGGGGTCACGTGACGATGCCGATGCCGATGACGTCATCAGTGACGATGACGATGCGGATACCGATGACGTCATCAGTGACATCACGGATGACGTCATCAGTGATGATGACAATGACGATGCGGATGCCGGTGACATCATCAGTGATGATGACGATGCGGATGCCGGTGACGTCACTGATGACGTCATCAGTAATGAGGACAATGACGATGCGGATGCCGGTGACGTCATGAGTGACAATGACGATGCGGATGCCGGTGACGTCATCAGTGACGTCACTGATGACGTCATCGGGGGTCACGTGACCCCGGGGTCACGTGACTTGGGGAGCCACGTGACTTTGACCCTGGGGGAGGGGTCACGTGACCTTGCGTGTCACGTGACCTTGGGGAGGGGTCACGTGACCTTGGGATGACCTTGCGGGTCAAGTGACCTTGAAATGACCTTGGTTACGCCGACGGCGACGCCGCTCAAGCTCAGAACGGGCCCCTAAGAGCTGCGCTCTAAAAAGAAAAAGAAAAAAAAAATTGGGTTGTGTTAGCACAACCCAATTTTGGGCTTTGTCAGCACAAAAATTGGGCTTTGTCAGCACAAAAATAGCCTTTTTTGTGCTGACAAAGCCTGGCAGAAAGTCACGTGAAAAAGTAGAGCGGCAAGCAACAAATAAGGGGAGAGTCATGTAACAGGCGCACCGGCTGTGGCGAGACACCGAAACACACTATACTTTTTTTCTCCTTTTGTCGAGGGTAAATGGAACGCCATCCCATTCCCGTTCCTCCATTTCGGTTTCGTCTGTTTCGTTAGCGCTCAAAATTACTACAGGGATGAGTTGAGCTAGTTGATTATTATACATTACGGGTGGAACTAGCGGAACAATGAGGCTCGATAACCCTGCAACCTCAAGAAAAGCTCTTTCTGCAGGGTGCCCTCACAACTCAGTATAAATAGAAGGAAGGGGGCAACACAATTCAGGGTTAAAAAAAAAAAAGTGGGGTAAAAAGAAAAAGACTTGTCTTTTTCTTTCTACATTATGTTAGTGGGTGGGGAAGTATGTTCCCTCTGCTATCATACCAAGGCGGATCAGGTAGTTGCGCCCAGACTCGAAGCTGGGTCGCAAAAGCAATTCAGTCCGTTACGGGAGTGCAAAACGAGCAGGCCACATAACACATTCTGTGTTAAGACTGATTTGGCCTGTCATTTAGTCCTTAGGCTGGGTCTTCTGTCGCATAAAGTCGTGAACTTGCACCCTCCAGGTTCTCTGATGTGAGAAGATGGAGACGGTTGGCCGTGGCCCTGTGAAAGCCTTTTTCCTCCGTATGGTTGGTTTCTCCAATGCCCTGGATTGGAGGCCACTGCTTTTTTTAGAGCCGGTTGTTGCGGAGAGAGCTTGCATACTCTGCGGCACGGCGGGCAGGGGGGCGGTCAGGCTGTCCTGTGAGCACACTGTCTGCTCAGACTGCCACGCAGAGTGCGTCAAACAAGGAGGCATCTGTCCGCTGGATCAGAAGCCCTTCTGTGAGGACGACCTAGTTCATCTAAACTACTCCACCGGCTACCTTGGCAAGCGCAAGGTGAGTCGACCAGAAGCTCAGTTTCGCCTGGCCTCCGAGGAGTGCGGACCCAGCTTACGAACGAGATTTTTGTACTACCTGCGATGCCGTAGCAACTGTGGCACCCCACATCTCTGATGGTTATTCAGTCAACCAGTTTGGTCAATTGCAGGCGATGCGAAATGTGCAAATGATGGTAGCGGGATATCAGGGTATGCACAACTCTCCACATGCCTGTCATAAAGTTTGTGTGACAGATGCTTTTAAACATTTTTCAATCTTTGTCTCTACTAGTTGCAGCTAGATACACCTTCCAAATACTTAACTTCTAGGCACAATATACTCAGTCATTGGGTTGTGGACATTCGCATGAGGTACCCTAGCTTGCATCAGAGCGCCATTTTGATTGATTAGAACACGATCAACAACTGCCACGGCCGCTCAATCCCCTCCCCTCCTGCGGCGCATCATTGAAGGCGTACCAGAGTACTCTCTCCATCCCGTAAGAGAAAAGGTGGACGTAATGAGTGAAGGAATATCGATGCATAAAAGGCGATTATTGGAATGGTCTTATGAGCAGCTTCAGCTGTCAGACTAACATTGCTAACGTTGCCCGGCGAAGGTACTAGACGTGCGACACCAGAAGCAGAAATTGTGCCCCAAGCAGTGGTTTTGCGAGCTTGATCACTCCATCTGTTCTAGCGTGATAATTTAAATGTGATAATCTGAAGATAGGCATGGATAATTGAACTTGAACAGAGTTAGCAGCTTAAGATCAAGTCTGCTGTAAACTTTCCAAGTTTGAGTGGGCCCTGGTCAGGAAGAAGTACAGACTCTTGTCCGAACATGCTTGGCGGTCCTTGATGCAGTTGGTCATCATGAAACTTGGGCCAGCTTGAACTGTCTTTATGGTAACGCACGTAATCTATTCCAACCAACCGTGGCCAGACACTACAACGAAAAATGTGGCATTAATCTGGCAGTCTGGTTAATTTTCGTCCTATTTAGCCTCCATTATCTCATTTGCAACCTCACATTTTGTTTGATAATGTAGTTGCAGAGTTACGTGCAAGGGTGGACCTATTTTTAGTAATGTCGCCTCTTCGGAAAGCATTCGCTCCTTGTGTGGTAAGGAAAAAGTCATGGGGCTTTTGGCATATCTGTTATGTTAGTTTTAGTTCACAGGAACATTATGCGAATTAAGCGTCAGCTTACCAGAACCGAAATAACATGCGAGTCAATGAATGCAACGGATTGAACGGTTGGTTCCTTTTCCGAGAAATGAATGCATAGAAATCGGGAGCCATAAAATAAAGGGGACCTCTTTTATTTTGTGGAACCAGGCCCTCATGACGTACATGCGATAGGCGTCAGTGACACTGCAATATCCTGATAATATAACTAGCATCTAATCTTTGCTTTCTGAAGGTGGCCTGCTGGAACGCACACAGTGGCTGTAGGTTTGTCGGCCCTGTCTCGGGTCTCCTGGAGCACTTTCAGCAGTGCGCCTTCCACACTGTCTCCTGCCCCCAGTGTCACACCTCTGTGCTGCGAAGCGACATCGTTAGGCACTGCAGGGAAGGCTGCAGCCTACATCTAGTCACGGATACAGCTGCCGTCAACTTCCTCGACCTTGATCGCAGCAGCATTGAACAGGTGCAAAATGAGCTCGGAGAAGCTGTGGGAAAGATATCTGGAGACCTGATCTCGCTGCAGAGGGGCCTGAACCTGTGCTGTGAAGGCATTAAAGCGACACATACGAGCTGCAGACGGCTTCTGGAAGATAAAGCTTGTAAGCACGATGACCTCACTGTAACCTGCACTGCTGGCTCCATCGTAAAACTGACGCTACTTCGAAGAGTTTTGGCAGATGTAAACAATGGGGTAGAGACCTTAATTGGGCAACTGCAGGCACATGATATACAGCTGGTTCAGAAATCTGCGGAAGATGTGAAGATTGCCATGATGACAGTCGGCAACATCGGCAGAGAATTCTTGACCGAGGCACTGCGTGCACCGAGAGGCCAGCCGATTTTAGCCGCAGAGAGGGTGTCTCAAAGCCCCTTTTGTTTTTGTGAATCCAAGAGTTATCACTGGTATGCCAGACATTGGACAGTCATGAAAACAACCGCTTTGGAAGGTTTGACCGCGTGCCTAGAAAGTCCCACATGGAATGCCTTCGGTTACAGTGTCAGTCTTTGCCTCGAGCTTGAGAACAATTTCAACTTCAACTGTTACTTCAGACTCCATCCTGGCAGCAGTGATCCTGACCTTGAATGGCCCTTTAATAAGTCCTTTGTGCTTGGGATCATTCATCCCCAGGACAGGTCAATGGATATTTGCTACAAATTCGACGCTGGTGTGGATCGAGAAAACCCCTGCTTTCAAAGGCCGAGAGGAGAAATAAAGAAGGCACTGGGGTGCGGAGTAGTCCCCCTGTGCTCTGCAACCGAACTTGAAGACGGAGGGTTTGTTTGCAGCAACAGGCTGCACATGTTTCTGCAGGTCATGCCATAGCCTGTTCATTGCACTGTGTCATTCAGTTGAAGATGGTCAAACCGCTTGGGAATGATATTGTAATACAATTTTGTTTTTTACAGAGCGTTTTGGTAAAACGTTGGGGAAGAAAGCCCTCCCACGAGCAGCGGGAATATGTAGTTTTTTAACCTTGAATTGCTGGTGTGTATCTTTAGGGCAGTGAGCCTTGCCTAAACTTTGTTCAATCACAAATAAAAGGTTTCAACTTGATGTACAAACAATCGAAGCCGTCCCGCTCTCAACTCTGGAATTAGCATGTTTGTGTGTGCACCTTCATTTTTTCTACTTTTCTATGTTTTTGCTAATCTTAAGGAATCCTTAGTACGGCAGACTTGAAGGGGGCATTTGCTGAATTGGGGCACGCGAGAGCTGTTCCCCAATTCGATCTACAGATCCGTGGAGTATCATTCATAAATCTATAGCTGTGTCACTCCGCAATCCCACTGCATCGTTCCAAGTCCAATCGCAGCCGACAGCTACGACGCAGTGGAGCCAATCAAGCAGCCTTGAAAGCACGTGTCATGGCGCTTGTCGTCTTTGTCCGTCTGCCGTCACCGGCTAAGCCAATAACGCATAACGAGTGTGCCACGATCCTTCACTTTCGGTTCTGCTTGATCGGCTTCATTGAATCATAGCCTTGGCTGTGGTCGTACTTAAACTGGGACAGGGTATTTATGCTCGCAAAGGTATTTATTTGTACACGACATATAAGGCCCAACTACCCTGAACACAATTTGCGGCTCGAAGTTTGTTTTCCTTCCTCCCGAAAATTGCCGATCGAGAACTGACGGTTAGTCACACTCACTCTCTTCTCCGTCGTCACGTTCCGTTCTCTCTGGTTTAGACACAACCACCAAAGATAATCAAAGTTGTGGGTCATCAAAGGCACACACTCAATACTAAAAGTAGACAAAAAATATGATAGCCATTTTTTGTGGCTTCTAAAAAAACTGCAAATACATTGATTTAAAAAAATAAAAAAAGCTACGTGACTTTTGGTAACTTTCTCTATGTTTCTCTTCCTTCCCAGTCCAGTTTCGGTTTTGAGCAGTTGCAGATTTTGACTTTATTAAAAATATATCTGATGCTGTAGCAAACATTGATTGGGTAGTTTTGCAACACCATAACAGAATGCCTGGCAAAAAAATTAAAATAAGTTTTTCTTTTTTTTTTTTTTGGGGGGGGGGGGGGGGGGGGGTTGTTTCTTTAAAGGGATACTACAACGAAATTTCGGCGCTCATTTTTTGGTCTATGTGTGTTCAAAGGAGCAGCATCACATCGAACATACCAATATCTTTTTAAAAAGTCACGAAAAGAAATTTTAAAACGAATTAAACGATCAGCAAAGAGCACCTGGTGGATGTCGCTAACGCCTCGCTTGTAATGCCCGTCTAGGAACCTTGACAGCTAGTGACGGAGGTTGTCTCGCCTCCGGCCACGACAAGAGAAGAGGGGAAGGAGGAACTCCCCTCTTCCCGAGAATGCCTTTTGTATGTCGCAGAAGTTGCTATTGTCCCTCAAGATTACAGAAGATTAACCCGTTACTCAAAATTCGTACAAAAGCAGCCGCTTCGGTGGCTGGAACGACTAGGTCATCCTCTCGACGCCAGCCTCGCCGTAGCTTTGCTCGTCCTGAGACGACCTACGTCACAATTACGTTGGATGTCACGTGGTCTCCGCTGGGCCTTCTTCCAGCGCTTGCCATAGTGGGCCATTTATAACGAAAGATACAGCCACCAGGCTCAAAATACAAACGTGCGATTGTCATTTACGGATATTGTGGATCATATTCAACTTATTTTTGAACAAGACGGGAATATTTCAAATTTCGTTGAAGTGTCCCTTTAATGTGAAATAGAGTATATCACTCACTGCAGTTGCTTCTCTGCTGTCGACTTGCAGATGACGCTTCGCCCTGCAGGCAGAATTGAGGGCTCGCCTGGCCTGCTGGGCAAGGTGAACGGTTGTCATGCCTCCCCCTTCTGGGGAACACATTTCAGAGGCTGGACTACAGTCCAGCCTATGAAATGCCGGGTTTCACGGCGTCTTAAGGGGTGTCCAAACAGGACACTACATACGCACGACTCCGACAAATCGTGAATATTGAAGCGGGTGCGTCCGCTTCAATTTTCACGATTTGTCGGAGTCATGCGTTTTGTAGTGTCCTGTTTGAACACCCCTTTAGTCAGCATAACTGCACGAAATTTAGCGGGAAAATTGAGGTTGCGTGACATGAACACCAATTCATTTTTCCCGCTAAATTTAGCGGGGAAAGTGACGTCACATGATTTTGCGTCACGTCACTTATGAACAGATTCAGTTTCTCTGCCAGATTTAGCGAGAAAATTGATGTCACATGACCTCAACAGCCATTCAATTCCCTGCTAAATTTAGCGGGAAGATTGAACTTGCATGACTTCTACACCAATTTAGTTTTCCCACTAAATTTAGGGGGGGAATGACGTCGCATGACTTTGTGTCACGTCACCCATAAACATATCCACTCTCTCCTAGATTTGCCAGGAAAATTGACGTCACATGACCTAAACAGTAATTCAATGCCCCGCTAAATCTAGTGGAGAATTGAATTGCTGTTGAGGTGACGTACATGGCATTCATTTTTCAGTCTAATTTAGCGGGGAAGCTGGGAGGAGGGGACGGTATGAAGGGGGAGGAGGGGAGGACGAGGAGCAGAGGATGACAGGAGGAGGAAAAGGTGGGGCGTACCCTCCCCTTCTCGAGAGCTGCGCTCTAATTTTGCGTTACAGAGATTTGTAAACATCTCATTTTTTGATGTGCTGAACTCATCACCCTAGCAAAAATTCCGATAGAAATTTCTATGGGACCAATAGAGATTTGTATAGGACCGATAGATATTTCTATGGGACTGATAGAAGTTTCTATTGGTCCCATAAAGATTTGTATTGGTCCCATAGAAATGCCTATGGGACCGATAGACATTTCTATTGGTCTAATAGAGATGTCTATGGGACTGATAGAGGCTTCTATAGGACCAATAGAGGCTTCTGTAGGACCAATAGAGGCTTCTGTAGGACCGATAGATATTTCTATTTGTCCCATACCAGTTTCTATTGGTCCAATAGAAGTGCCTATGGGACCGATAGACATTTCTATTGGTCCAATAGAAGGGCCTATGGGACTGATAGAGGCTCCTATTGGTCCGATAGAATGGTCTATGGGACTGATAGAGGCTTCTATTGGTCCAATAGGACTTTCTATAGGACCAGTAAGGCCTTCTATGGGGACCAATAGGACTGTATGAAACCAATAGGAGTCTTTATGGGACTAATTGGGCATATGTATAGGCAGCTCTACTGGACCATTTGGCTTCTCTTTGGGGCAGTATGACGATCTAAGTAGAAAAGACAAACATTTATTGCGCATGTATTTGTTCAATGGAAAGCTCTACTGAACCCATTCAGTATGTATATGAATTAAATTAAAAAGTTATGCAGCAACTATTGCTATATATCTATAAGAAATTACTGTTAATGCAAGTTTGAAGAAAGGCATGCTTGTGTTCTAGCTCAATAAGTCTAATTAACCCATTCAGTTCAACACATGCAAATAACTATATCTGCTATGTAAGTATACAAAATTAATAGATGTAAGCATATTTCGCAAGACTCCTGTTTGACAGTATGATCTTCATCTTGAAAAGGCTTGAAAAATTATGTTTGCAGATACACATACTGTAGCGAAAACTTCAATCAAGGCTGCTGAGAAATTTAGTGTCTAAAAACTTTAATTGATCAGCAAACTATGTAGCGAATTTCTTGAATTAATTGAGAGTTGATATGGCCTATTGTACCATATTTGCAGCTAAATTAACTTTGAGCTGGGGGGCGGGGGGGGGGGGGGGGGAGGAGAGGAGAGAGAGGAGGGAGGGAGGGGAAGAAACGAGGGGTTCATCGGGGGCTGCATTGTATTAATTGCCTCCCGGGCCTAAGGTTACTGACCACTGGTCAAGAGGAAGTCTAATCCAAGCTTATCAGAGGTCATAAAAAGAGAAATTGTTCAGAATGCTTGGTCGTACCCCTAGAGCCACTAAAAAAGTAATCGGTCGTACCCAGAAAAAAATTATGCTGAAATCGCTGCTGTCGGTACGCTGATTCTCGACAGAAGGCGTTGGCATTTAGCGCGGCGGTTCTGACTCTGCGCAAGATGGGAATTCTAACCTCGCAACGGTCTGCGTACTGTTGTGTTTGGAGAGCCAGTGTGTTCTACCGGGCGTCGACGGTTTCGGATGCAGCCACAACAGCTTCCCTCGATCGCCGCCTAAGCTCCGCATGCTGTCTTTGAAGGGTCAGTAGAGAGTTTTAGTAGATCGTCCCGATATCTCCGATAACTAGACGATGTGTGCGCAAAGGCCGATCTCAAGCGCCTCTCCAGGCGCTTGAGACCGGCCCAACCGGCCTGCCAGAAGTAAGCAGCCCATGGCAGCACCGCGAAGATTGCTGCTAGGCCTAACACACCATATCATAATCACCTCACTTCCATCTGTACATTACATCATCACATAATCACAATCCCTAGACACGGCACCGCGGGCCTCCTTGGTACGGGCTTTTGCCTTTCTGCGGTGCCGCGGGCCGGAGCGCCGGAGCGCGTGCGCTCCAGTGCGCTCCACGGCGTTTGGATGGATGGATGGATGCTACTGGCTATACCCTTTGTATCGGGCGGTAGCTTGCGCCACCTAGCCTACGTCTAATAAAGACAAACATTTGATTCCCCCGCCCTTCTAAGCCAATTTTCTCTCCCCCCCCTCCTAACTATCACCAGGTAGTGCGGGATATCGCCAGGCTGACCTTTGGGGGATCGGGCAAAAAAAACTAAAAAACATCACACCCCGCCTCTTCCCCCCGGCGAGGGAGTCGCCAATTTTCCTCTGGTCAAACCTTGTCGGCGTTACCCCTGCACCCAACCCACTGGGGGACAGGGTTGAGACTTTGGGCCTGAGCCACGCGGGAGGGAGTCCCAATTTTCCTCTGTCCCGCCTGTCCCCAGCTGTGCTAGTTAGTTGTGCATCATTCAATTTTCCCTAGATAATTTCCACCAATCTTCTAACCGCCTCTTTGTTATTGTGATCCTCTTCTCCTCCGTCCTTCCATCGTCGCCAGCAAAGCCCAGGGCCCCGGCCAAACCCGTTACACCCTCAGGAGGGGCAGGACGAAGCCTCGTGCACCTTAAAACTAGG